TTTGATAAAATTAATTATTTTTACCGCTTCATCCATAACTAATTTTAGATTAGACGGCATTTGCTTCATCGCAAGTGCTTGTCTATGCAGAATACAATGACTGGAACTACAATTAGGCGCTTTATTTTTCATTCGTGACACTGCTCCTGCTGTTTTACCTGTCATCGCCTTGGCCCCATCTGTACAAATGTCAATGCAATTGTTCCAACTGAGATTATGTTCTTCAAAAAATATATTTATTTTATTAAAAATTTCTTCCCCGGTAGTGTTTGTAAGCAGCGATGAACACATAAGCATGTCTTCTTCAAAAGAACTTTTATATGGATATCTCACAATAACCAGCAGGATAGCCAAACCAGCGACATCAGTCGACTCGTCCATTTGCAAAGCGAATCGTGTATTTTGTAGACGTGTAACTAGTTCTTGTTTGACGTAGCTTGCCAGATCATGGATTCGTCGTGAAACAGTATCGTTTGATAGCGGAACAGTAGAAAGATGCTTTGCAGATTTTTCATCAAGCATACATTTTGTTATGTCTAATACACATGGTTTTATTAATTTCTCAGCGATAGTGTGCGCTTCACCTGCTTGTGCAATGCGATAGCTAACTAAGTATGATGCCTCCGTGGCCTTTTCGTTGGTAGTTTGTGTTACATGCATCATATTTTTTTGACTTTCTAATAACTGATCTTTTTTGCGAACAAAAAATTCTTTATTCTTGTCTTTAGTCTCGGGGTGTACGGTTTCTAAATGTCGACGCAATTTGGCAGGTGCCATGGAACTATTAGGAAGCAGTTTACTACAGAGCATGCAGAGAGGTGAGCCGTTGGAATCAACAAATCCGAAACTGATATAAGATTCATCATACTTCCTTTTTTTCGTCTTTGAAACCGTCGAGCTTGACGTCGTGGCACTCGTGGCATCATCTTCTGGATCGGTGATTGCTAAATTCTCCGCGCGCATTGCTTTTGAACATTCAGCGTCATTAGAAGATGTTGTTGGAACACGTTTAACACCTTTAAGCCAACGTTCCATTCTTCTTTATTTATAATGTTACAAGTCAGGATAGTGGGGTTTAAATAATGCACAATCGTTACTGCGTATAAGAGACTAAATTTAGAACCTACAGGGAAGAAATGTATAAAACTGAGACAACAGAATACAGCAGGCAGTAAAACAATGAACACCAGTTTCTCGCTAGCGAGCTTGTAAGTAGGTAGTAACTTATCGCTCCGAACGCTAATCATCAACTGACGACGCCAACGCGCGATCGCCGCTTTTATACTTAGTCCTAGACTCGATCTCAAATATTCTCGAAAATACTCGAGTCGGCACCTTTGATAAACAAAAAGCAAAAATAAAAACAGAAATTTAAAAATAGCGTTGTAAACAATATCGACTTTATCCTTTGAAGTTAGAGACGAAAGTCGCTAGTTGACAACTATAGCGTCTAATTCAGAGGCGGCTTTTATCAAAGAGACTGAGCGCTTACAAGTATACTACCCGCTCGTTTTAAGTTTGCCGCTGGCGATAGGTATGAGTGTATGACGTTCGAAATTTTTTATTTAATTGTAACAATAAAAATTGTGTACGTTAGATATTTGGGTAAAACTATGACACATTATAAGTTTTGTTGTCACGTGGGGGAGGGTACGCGCATTCCACAGACCGGCAAACTTAGAGCGAACGCGTTGTACAAGTATAAAATTGTTGAGACCAAACTTATGAGATATTGTACCAGCTAATGTAACACAAGCTTATACAAATACAAATAAATAAATAAATAACATTCATAGCGTTTTGTCTCCGCGCGGCCGCGGAGTCCGCACAGCCGCGGAGCGACCAGAGAGAGGTGTTTTGATTTTTTTATTTCTAAATTCTTGCGGAACCCCGACAGAGGTATCACGGAACCCTAGGGTTCCGCGGAACACACTTAGAGTATAGCTGAGTTAAGATAACAAACGTAGGTAAACGCATGCTAAGTAAGGACCAACCTTTGTGCTTATTTACCACTCCCTGTGAAATATGTTTAAAAGTTTAAACACATCATAATGCTATTGATTGACGTGCAGTGTGTAGGAGTGGTACAAGCAAGTGACGTGCCCGTTCTGGTCCGCCAGTCAGGCACAATCGGTCCACACCTGCCGGTGGTGGCCGAGCCCCTATGGTGAGCTATTATGCCTATTTGGTTACTTTTTATCGCACCGTAGTATTCCGACTTTGGTATTGATGACATAATTCTACTGACTGATTATGTCCTGCCCATATTTATAACTAGATTTGTTATTACAATCATTGAATCTGTTTAGAGATAGGTATCTATAATTGAAATGTTTTATCGATGAAATAAAACAACTAAAAGTGTTGAATTGCTGCATTGAATGCTTTTTTTAATACTACATTTTTTTAATTGGTCTAAGATTTTTTGTAATAAATGTGAAGAAAATATAGGTTGTTATTTTTTGCCAGTTTCGGAATTTATCTACGCATGAATAGGCTTTAATAACTTCCCTAATAACTCTCTTTATTTAAATCACCAAGTTGCCAGTCATTGAATGAAGATAAGGCGTAGGTACTATGTGTTGCAGCCAATTTTCCACAGTGACTCCGTCACTCGTTTCGTACCCACTGCTCCGGAAAATGGGCATCATACCACGTTACCGACTTAGAAAATTAACTGTAACACGATTGCGAATAGGCTTGGAAAATATCTTTGACAAATATTAACCGATTGATAAGGATAATAACAGTAAAATTTGAATGAATTTTATCGAATATTTAGTTCCAGATATTTTCTTTTTCATAGAGAACTACCAATGTAATAAAATTATTATTAACTACTTTATCCAAAAGTAGTTGATATTATTAAAATAACGTTTAAATATAAAAAATACCCACAAATTACTGTCTACATTGAAAGATAAGTAAAATGCGCAATCTATTCTTTTCTTTTACTCCCGGTCCAGCATGAAGGGGACTCCATGGGCACTGAAATATTCTCAACATTCTCATCTCAACAATGAAAAAATAAAAAAAACGACGGGTTGCACTCCGGGAGTGCCGGCAGAAGTGAAAAGTTGAATATTAATGTTGTGCATTTTTGATATTTTGGAATGGTTAGGGAATAATTTTGCAAGAATTGCTTTAATTATCAGTATAAAAAATTAAATATATAATTAAGTATAAAAGTACTATCATGTATGTGGTAAAATACAATATTTATTTATTGCGCTATCGTACACAAACATCCAATTCATATTACATTAAAAAAGTTTATCTCTCAGAAAAACCAACTTACATGAATCACTTTTAAGCGCACTTCGCGACATCTATTGTAAAGAAATCAACTTACATAAATCACATTTAAGCGCACCTAGCGACGTGGACGTCCTAGATAGAGACTTATTATTATAATACGGTAAAATAAAATATTACTATGTTTCGTTCAATATATTGAAATTCAACAACCTTTCCAATTTGATTGTGTGTCATGATGCGATCAGCCTACGTATTTAACCTGACGCGAGTTTAATATTTTTTACCCATACAAAAAAGTGTACATCGCCGTTAAAGAAGTTTTCACTTCAAATATGAAATAAACGTAGGTAAGCAAACGTACGCTCTGATTGACACATCTATTAAGCAACATACAAGTTTGGAACTCCTACTTTAAAATAAAAGCACAATAAGTAATATACAATAAGGTATTTCCATCATCACCTCACTTTATTACCGTAATGGTAATGCTTATCAAATTTAAATTAACTATGCAATAGCGATATGGCATTCTACAATATCATAAAAGTTATAAACACATAGTTGTACACTGTTTCTGTTATAGGTACTTAATGTCATAAAACTATTAATGCGCTATAATCTCGACGGCTTCATTAAAGCCTTGTTGATTTTTCTTGACGTACATACTTAAATAGTTAAATGCAGAATTAAACCAAAGTTAGAGCCAAATACGGAAACGGTAAACAATAAACGCCGAAGCCGAAAAAAAAACTGCTAAACTTGAAACTAGATTCTTCAACAGAGTCAAGGACTTCACTAACACTAATCTTGCCATAGAGAGAGAGTGGTTGAGAAGTGATCTTGATCACTCTTATTGTTTATTATTTTACCTATTTATTTTTACTCGTATAGTTATTTAATGGTGTCGATTCTAGCATGATTCTCTAAATTTAAAACAAAATTTAACATCAATCTCTCCTTTTCATTCTATACAGATAATGATAGAGACACACTCTTGTCAAATTTAAGTTTAGGTTCAGAGAATCATGCCAGAATCGACAACAATGCAACATTTGAATAAACAATTTATGTGGCTGTCACAGTGAGATTAATTGAGAATAGTCTTTAAAGTATTGTAGGGAAATGGTTAATACTTTTTTCATTATTTCACTACTATCTACTTACCTAAATACTTCAATAATTGTTAAAGATGCAAAAAGATACTAAAAGTTACTATCTAGTTACCTAAATACTTCAATAATTGTTAAAGATGCAAAAAGTTTCAGTAAAATATAATTTCACTCGTCTTGTAGAATGTTAAACCATATTAGGTATCATAATTTCGTCAGACCTCCAACTGTGCAACTAATTACTTGGCTGCTAAATAACTAACTACAAATAGGTATGCAGTGAGTTAATAAAAAATCCATAAGTGCTGTTTTGGAATTTCATATACATACCACACTCGTATTATTACCCACAAATTACACTGTCTACATTGAAAGGTAAGTAAAATACCTACGCAATCTATTCTCTTTTTTTACTCCTGGTCCAACATGCACTGAAATATTCTCCACGTTCTCATTTCAACGTTGAAAAAAGACAAAACATTTAAATGTTTCAATTCTAATGTTTTCTGTGTCAAATTATTTCAATCAAACGCATGTACAGGAAATACATATGGTTTTAGCCACTCCAATAAAGTAATTACTAAATAAGGGGTCATATTCTTCCCAGTGTATCATTCAGGTTCACATACTTACACTGTTGTTTTTTCAAATCCTTGAGGGTAGATACAAACGACAGAAAACTATCACTGTTATTGTTAATGCGTGTACACTTTAACAATTAAAATGTAACTGACACTTTTCTTGAGCACCATGAAGACAATGTAAACATTACATTCCGACAACAAAAAAAATACTAATTTCTATGTTCCATTCACAAGACCGGCACAAAGGAACACTTGATATAAAAAAGACTCGATTACAAAATCGTAATCAATGACGCAACTTCGAAAGTAAAAGTTTGGAACGCGCGGTAAATAAAAATTTGAATTTGCGCGCGACACGTGCACCGGCTCACCTGCCGCGCGGCAGACTGTGCGCGGAATACGCGTCTCCGATTGGTCAAGGGCCCGGAGGCTAGTCGCGAGCGCAACCGGTTTGACCGGACGTGTAGTGTTACCAACAATCCGGGAAACTGCGGACAAATTAATACGCTCCGTCGTCGCTCGTTAATTTAACATTTGAGCCCATAAAATGTGTAACAATCAGTACCTAATTTATGAAAATGTTTGATGGACATATTAATTTCAAAAAAAAAGATGGATTATGCTTTTCATTTAGAAAGAAATATCAAAAAAGAATTATTTGTGTTAAAATAATACTGCATCCAATGGCTTAATATTTCTATAGATATGTTACGTTCACATTAATTGCATTTAAAATCTGTTCCAACCATGTTCAAACTTCAACCCCCTTATTAAAAATCGAAGCGTTAGCTTGGATTAGTTACTTGGATTAGCCATGTTTTGTCTCTGTTCGTCGAATGACAAATGGCATTTGAGTGATATTAACAAATCACGGCGTAACTAGTCTAAGCTTATTCCTCGTTTATTAATAAGGGGTATATTTTTTCTTATGCATAGAGTATCATTTAACATTCTAGCGCAAGAATTAGCGCGTTCGGCTGCGATCGTTGAAGTTAAATAACATTCGCAGTGGTCGGTCATTGGATGGGTGACCAAAAATTTACTATCTCGAGCTCCTCCATGCTTCGGAAGGCACGTTAAGCCGTTGGTCCCGGCTGCATCTGCAGTCGTTAGCACCCGCCAATCCGCACTGGGCCCGCGTGGTGGGTCATGGCCCAATCTCCCTATTCCATCCATAGGGAAGGCCTGTGCCCCAGCAGTGGGGACATTAATAGGCTGATGATGATGATGATGATGAGAGTAACATTTATACAAAACAAGACGCTCCAATTGACCTGTTTTCGAGTCATCTCAGCGCGCGTTTATGACATATCCAGTTTTATATAATATCATTGACTCCATCCCACTTCTAAGTAAAGCGATAGATTTCTCATCTGCAAGTACATTTACATATAGGCATATCTATGTATAGAAAGAAAGAAAAAGCATAACTAAAATTGTAAACCTTGTTGGGTATTTTCTTCCACCAATAGCATCAATGCTTAACTAAGGAGCTCTCACTTGAACGTAAGTAAATAATTTATTATCCACGATATGGAGACACCCTAACGGAAATATGCGAGCCTGAGAAATAGTTCACCCGTAATTGTGCCATAAAAAGCTATCGTGCTTAGTGGCTATGCTAGGGCATGCATCGTGCGCTTTTACTGCGTCATTTAAGTTTAACATCACAAACAACTAACGATACAGCTTTCACAAGAACTTAAACCGAAGGAATTGAATCTAAAACCATCTAAAATTTTATTAAAATAATCGCTAATGTATAAAAACAATATAAAAGCAAGTACTGAATATAGTAACGTTAATAAAGTACCTATATTTCTTAGTTAGTCTTTTAATAAGTATAAAATTGTCATGTCAAGAGTAGCATTCATCTTAAAGCATACAGTGTATGACAAAAATGCGGCCAACACACTGAAAAGCTGCAAAAGTGAAAAGCCTTATTTGTATGGGGTGGAAGCTTTCCAGTCCGTAGAAGGGTTAGGATACACTCACATGACTAAAACATATTGAAAATTCGTCAAAAACCTCTTTGAAATGGATAAACCTAAAAAAAGTTCTGAAGTAACCTAAGTACGTGAATCTAAACTAAAACTAATTGAATCTAAAATCATCTTAAATTTTAATAAAATAATGGCTAATGTAAAAAAACCAATATAAAAGCAAGTACTGAATAACAAAATACCTTTATTTCTTAGTTAGTCTTTTAATAAGTATAAAATTGTTATGTCAAGAGTAGCATTCATCTTAAAACATACAGTGTATGACAAAAATACGGTCAACAAGCTGAAAATATCTTCTGATTTTAGTAATTATAATGTCGAATATTTACGTTAATTAAATAAGAGGCTACAATTGAAGTTGGAAAACAAAAATAAAATGTTTTCAAATTCTTATGAATATAAACTTATAATAGTTAAATCGCTTCGATGAGTACCTATATGTTTGTAATATAATTTAAATAAAACATTAACTAAATAAACAAAAAGGAAAAACTTTAAACAGTGTTACCTCAAGAAATATAAATTATATTTTTGTTCTTTCGTATTCATGATAAATTAAGTTGAACTCACGTATATATCACCAAGGGCAACGGTGCAACTTACAGCTGATGGTATACCTATCCCAAATGATTTTTTTTTCTGCAATAGATTCATCCATATATGTATAGTTTCAACCTATGATCTAAATATAAAAATCTATACTAATATTATAAATAGGAAAGATTTGATTGTTTGTTTGTTTGTATTGAATAGGCTCCGAAACTACTGGACCGATTTGAAAAATTCTTACACATTTAGAATCCTACATTATTCTTAATGAACATAGGCTATAAATTTTTTTCAAAAAGTTAGGGTTCCGTATGAAAAGTTCCATAATGTAACCCAGGGTGTGAAACCTTATATCGCTTACGCTGCGGAAGTCATTGACAAAAGAGCAAAGTGATGTACTAAATTTTTATAGAGGACATAAAAATCTACAAAAAACGTCCGCGAAATCATATGTCTTACTATTACAGTTATGTCACAACTAAAGGTTTCACCCACGTTAATTTAAGGAAAATGTTATAGTGAGTCAAACTTAAAAGATGGGCACATGCTGTCACGGATTTTTTTATAGAACTTTTAAAAGGGAGCAATTCCATTATACATGATTTTCGTGTTACCTTAATCATTTACGCAGCACACGCAACGGAATCTCCCAAATGGAATATTTTTACCTATTTTTGCAACATTTTACATCGATACTCCGTTCCGACTGGTTGCAGCATAATATTATATAGAATAAGGCCTTCCTCAATAAATGCACTATCTAACAAATCAATCAATCAATCAAACAAACAGCTTTTTTCAAATCGGACCATTAGGTCCTGAGATTTCAAAAATATATGTGCGTTCGGTACAACAGGTCCTAAACTACGCAACAAAATTTTCACTACCAGCTAAATAAATTTTCATAGAAGTTTAAAGTTATGTACAGAAGTTCATCGTGTATTACAAGCTTGAGAAAAATAACTATATAGTCTACACTACAGCTCTAAACCGAAGCGAAGTGAGGGCGGGGCACTAGTAGTAACTTAGTACTACATATTATTCATAAAGAAGGCACAAAATGTTCCCAACGTTCACAATTATAATTTACGCGGATTTCTATCCTGCTGTCACCTTGAAAGTTCGAGGAGCTGTATTCTAGATAGTGTAGTATTATCACAGTCGGTAAACTCATATTTATAGCCTGATATTATATTATCTCTCAATGGTAGGAGCTTGATGGCGCGGGTGGGTAGCGCGTTCGGCCTGCGATCATGGAAGTTAATCAAATTTAGCAGTGGTCGGTCATTAGATGGGTGACCAACAACTTATCTCGAGCTCCACCATGCTTCGGAAGGCACATCATGCCGAATCTCCCGGCTGCATCTACAGTCGTTAGCGCCCACCAATACGCCACAGAGCCCGCGTGGTGGGTCACCTGCTGCTGGGTCAAATGCATTTATAGGCTGATGATGGGATACTAAAATTACCTGATATAAATCTTATATCTTAACTAAATAAGCATTTGAATAATGAATGAAGTAGTAGTATTTTTATTATATTTAAAGAAAATTTTAAGTCACAGTGCAGTTTCGCTTTTTCGAATGCTGACTGATGATCCTGGGCCGAGTGGTTATTTTTATGTGAAACTTTTGTTACATTGCCACAATATTTTTCATTTATCTTTAGCAGACCGCAATACATTTTTAATTGCTATTAAAAAGATCTGACTTTATCAATAAGCATTGGTGGTCCAGTGGTAGAAAGCTCGCCTACTACCCTTACAGAGGAAGTACTTATTTATTGATGATTTTGAAACTTTCACTTGCATTGTGGCTTCAAAAAGCCACGCCATTTTTTTCTATTCATATCTTCTTAGATAAGAAATAGTCTTTTCGATAATTTCCAGTGTGCATTAGACCTAACAGGCCTGCCAGTTGGCGCGAGGAATGTGGGGCACCTGCACACACCAGCCCTTAATTACTAATAAGGAACTTGCCACAAAAGGAATCTTAATGTTGCACTAGTCTTAAGTAAACAAACACATGAGGTTTTGTCGCATCTAAGATCTTACTAATCTTTCTTTAGGCTTTTTGTGTTACTCGCGGCAACTCCCTCTCCTTGCAAGTGGGAGGGAATCCTATTTTATTAGTTTATGTCATTATCTATCTAGATATGACTCATTATATTTATAAATTTTTTCAGCACTTAACTGCTAGATGTTAAAAAGTAAAGAAAATTTTATTAGAGCACGCATCTGCCGCCCGGAAGATGACGGGTTCAAATCGCGTCTGAAACATGGTTCGACTGGATTATTTTCTAGTACAATTCTCACTGCTTAATCTATAACTCTATTAATGAATATAATAAAAAGTCTACACCGCTCGAGTGTGAATAAAAAGTCTACACCGGCGAGCCACTATAATAATTATAAACCCTTCATTCCAAGTAAAAAAATGTTGCGTAGTTTAGGACTCGTTGTAGCGAAAGCACCATTGCTCTGCTGTTCCGATTTGAAAAAATATGTTTGTATTGGATACTGCGTTTATCGAGGAAGGCTAAAGGCTATGTAATATCAGGCTACGACCAATAGCAGCGGAGCATCGATGAAAAATGTTGCAAAAACGGGTAAAAATATTCCATTTGTGAGATTCCGTTGCGTGCGCTGGGTAAACGGTTAAAGTTACACAGAAAGTATGTATCACGGAATTGTACCACTTTAAATAAAAGTTCTATAGAAATGTCTGCGACAGCATATGTCCATCTTTTATCTTTGACTAACTATAACCTTTTTCCTCAAATTAACGCGGGTGAAACCTATGTTATTACGGACTTTTTTGTAGATATTGATGTCCTCTATAAAACTTTATATTAGTACATCACTTTGCTCTACTATCAATGAATTCCGCAGCGTAAGCGATATTAGGTTATTTTTTGGTATTTTTTTCACACCCTGGGTAACATTCTCGAAGTTTTCATACGGAACCCTAACTTTTTGAAAATACTGTATAGCCTATGTTCATCAGGTATAATATAAGTTTTTAAAAGCGATAGAATTTTACAAATCGATCCAGTAGTTTCGGAGCCTATTCAATACATACAAACAAACAAATCTTTCCTCTTTATAATATTAGTATAGATAACATAGAACTATATAACTAAAAGTAATAAAGTTATATATTAAAGTGATTCACTTGAACGTGGAATTGTCAAAACTTATAGGCAAGTTACTTCGTTTGTGTGTAATAATAAATTGGTTTTCCTCAATTTCTATTAAAACTTAAAGCAGCTCAAAGCGTTTATTCTCATTTAAATTCTCCATCCATAGACATTATCACCGCGCGCCGAAACTCGCTAAAGTACCTATAAACAAAAACAGTTGCTATAGTAACACTTTATTGACAAAACAACACACCCTGACCTCTGAACAGATATTTTTATTAAATTTTATCGTAAACCATAAAAAGGAGAAAACATGTATCTAGAAACGTGTTGACTATCACCTTTATATAAAAATATCACAATTATAAATGTTCCCATAATTTGACACAATGAAGCTGTTGAAGTTCCATTTGAGATACCATCCTCCGGGTATTGTGTTGGAGTATCTTCAGAAAGGTCTCATTAAAAATAAGGAAATCGATCTTCTAGAACTAAACTGCAAGTAAGATTAAAATCTTTTATATTTATCTCCGTGCAAAGGTTCGGGTTTCGAACCCACGTCTTCTGGATGGGTAATTTTTCTTTAGATTTAAACACCTAGCAGTTAGATTAGACTTAAAATTATTGTAATATAAAGTGGCATGACTCTGTCTAGAATAAGTAATAATTTAGATTTTCCTTGCGAATTTCCATTTCATATTCCTACCACATGACAAAATTTCTCCTCGGAGTCCCCTTATGCTAAAATTCATCAAACAAATTTCATGAATGTACTATATTTGGATGTCTGCAAGTTTGTTCCCGCAAATCTCATTAAACTATACGAAAGAAACCGTTAATTATTACCTACTACTTTCATAGAATTTTTCTAACTCCAGCTCCGACATTAAAGAGATAGCCAAACGGCTCTTCCAGAAGGAAGTTCTTCTCACTGAAGAAGTTCAGGATCAGCTCCTACAATGCCTCGACACGCTGAAGAAGAGAATCGAGCATGAAGGCCCTACCGGGAAGAGGTTTTACATCTACAAAACGCTGCAGACTCATGTACTACCTATCACTAATGTGGCATTTGACAAGTCTGGCAAAAGGTGAAACTTAAAAAGTTAAAGAACACCGTGATATCTGGTTTTTAAATTTTGTTCCATCAACTATAAAAGCCCGTGCAGCGGAGGGACTTTTGCCTGCGGATTTATTTTCCGCTAAAATAGATAGCTTACAACTGCATCGAGTAGCGCACACATGGGATTAATAGGATTAAAAGTACTGCGTACACAAAGTCCCCCGAACAATCGAGGACACCGGGAGCTCGGACTGGACAAAAGTACGGCGATGTCCCCGAAATAAGTAGAACTCCTGTGACTAGACGCAGCAACGTACACAACGAACTTTAGTGCACGTTGCGCATTCTTTTTAAACGTCTGCTCTTTTTTTCTTAAGCTTCGTGGTAATCACAACACAACGTAATCTCAGAATGTTTGCTTCCATTACGTTCGTTTCTCTAAATTTCCGGGCAACAAATGTCCGCACACCGTGTACGTAAAGATCGTAACAAGTCCTCGTCGTACATTTATTTTTTCACAATTCATGAACTTATCCGCCAAGGACAAAAATCCCTCGTCTGCACAGGCCATAAACATTCAATGGAATACTTTTGTGAATATCATAGAAAAAAGTCGTAACTTAGAGTTTGGTCTTTCCTATACCAGGAAAGACCAAACAAAAAAAAAGCGCCCGGCTTTGGAGTATCCTAATAATAATTTTCATTATAATTTTAAGATCCTTGATTTCTAAATATTTTTAATATGGCAATGATTCTTCCTATTTCTTTAGTTTACCTATAATAATAATAACTCTGTACTGCAGGTGCATTACGGGCAGCTACGACCGCACCTGCAAGGTGTGGCATGTGGACTCGGGCAAGGAGCTGAAGACACTCGAAGGCCATCAAAACGTCGTCTACTCCGTGGCTTTTAACTACCCAGCATGGTATTGTGTGGTGTTTTCCATTATATAAGGTCCGAGCAGCGGAAACAGAAAGAGTTTAGAAAGGTGAAATGCAAAGGTTGCCTACCTTTGTATAGGAAGGAACTTCTTTCTGTGCTTTATGTACTTTTAGCTTTTATAAAATAAGGAAGGTCTGGCCGTCGTGGGCTCTTGCTCTATTATACTATTCGCGTCGTTTACTCAGTTCACGTGATTTTTAAATCGTAAAACACAAGGTTATAAGGGTCTAACAGTAAAGCAACATAATATACCTAATTTACTTCAAAATATGATGAGGCTTTATTCTAGACTTATCCACAGTCTCCGTAATAGTCCTGGAGCTATACTTGTTTGTATGTCAATCGCATGGTAGTATTGCTAATGGTATTTTTACTTAAGCATTTATATAAAATATTAGCTATCTGAACTCCTCATTACAAAGCTCAAGAAAACACCTCCGCGCGAAAAGAGTGCTTATAAAGAGAAGAAAGAGTAATACGCTACAAGTAAGGTATTAACAAAGTCCAGTTCCTAAGGTAGATGTGCAGTATATACTCGAGGATACCTTATATTTACTGTTAACTATATTGCCATACTTATTGAAGCTCTAGCAAACTTTTGCTACTCTCTAATGCCAAAGCAGGTGAACGTAAAATTCATTCGAGCTTAAATTTAGCTATTCGAAGTTCAGCACACAATTCTTTGGCGTCCAGACTTTAGGTTTTGTTGTCAGTTAGCTAGCCGTCAAGTTTATGGCTTATGGTTAACCTGTCATCAATTGAAGTGACTGATGACTTTTTAGTCGTCACCCCTTTTTTAACATTAATGTCATGACTAAAGGAATTGACTGACGGCTGCATAAACGTTTAATAGACGCCTTATTCTTCTCAGCGATCGAGTAATCACCGGGTCATTCGACAAATCTGCTCGTGTCTGGGACCCGGCCAGCGGGGAGTGCCTGGCCACTTTGTGGGGACACCGGGGTGAAGTCGTGGCTGCGCAGTTCAGTGCCAAGGGTGATCTGGCGGCCACTGGCTCGATGGACTACACTGCGAAGCTGTATGACGTCGAAACTGGTAAATATCAATTAATTTAGGTAATCAGGGTTATCGTAATTAAAGTGTTGGAAATGTACTGAAAAAATCCTTTTTTGAAATTTTGTTGTATAAATTTATTTTACCACTTTACCATGCCTTTCTCAAAAATAATAATCACTGAGCTAAGCTGTGTATGGACAGACATAACGAAACTTAAAGAGCTCATGGATGCCACATCGCTGCCAACTAATGAGTACATTTGAAAACACTCAAATGAAAAGCCCTCATTTGTTTTATGTTAGCTAATATTCTTATAGTCATGATATAGTAACTTTTTTATCTGATAAGTACAGGATCAGTTTAAATACTTATTCAGGTGAATTTACTTTCGTTTTATGCAATTTTTTATCTCAGGTATTTCAGCAACAGCAACTGTAGGCGAGCGCAACACAACTTTTGTTGAGATGAAATTACTTAGCTATATGTATCAATAAGTACTGATACCATAGCATAAGAAGCATCCTACACCAAGATTAATTACTGGAGTTGCTATATGTTCAGAAACATCCTTGTCTGAGAGGGAGACAGGGATTTTCAGCGTTTTTATGGCGACAGTCGCCCGACGAACCAATTTGTGATTATCGCCTTCGCACGGTCGCATTCGGAATGAACTGTTCTCCATATATTGATCTGCGAACTGTCCAATGCACTTCTTCAATAATTTGTCTTGATGAGATCTAGCATCGTCAATTAGAGATATAGAATAGTGTTAATAATAGATTTACTGTAGAGTAATAATAATTATTCAGGTACGGAGCTGCAAAACTACGAAGGTCACACGGCGGAGGTGATCACACTGCAGTTCGACCCAAACGAAGGTCAGCGACTCATCACGGGCTCCTTCGATGGCACAATCTCGGTGTGGGACACCAGGGTCAAAGAGTAAGTTTATAAACTTGTAAAGCTCAGAACAAGAACTGAAGCATAGTAGTAATGCTATAATGTTTGAGCGTACACTACCAAAGACAATAAATCAACGAAAATGTTTCCGAAGAAAGTATTAACCAACCATAAAATATAAGTAGCGTGTTGGCAAGTTGCATTTCATATTAGATCGCTTTTTGATTCGGTATCACAAAGGTAACCAAGATAGATTCCACGAAGCTTAGAAGGTATCCAATTTGACGTTTTGTATAGTAGTAACGCTGTTCATCATCTGTTCATAGTAACTTAGATCAGAAGACCAAAAAAGGGATATATTTTTTGGTCTTTATGTAAAAATAGGATAACTATAAGAGTTTAATTTATGAGATAATTTTACACAATTTTTACATTTTGATCTTGTTCTGAGCCTTAAGGGTTGCGTATAAAAGTAGGTACATGATACTTTATACCTACATGGATTTTGCCAAAGAACCAAAAAAAAATTGGATAAATGATTTGTGTTGTACTGTTTTGTCCAAAAGATTGCGGCAATATTACACATATACGACTTCTATGAGTAAGTTTATATAGGAGCTTGATAGCACGTCAGTTAGTGTGGTCAATCTATGCTTGTGGAAGTTATACAACTTTCTTAATTGCTGCTCATCGGTCGGGTGATCGGATGCATATAAAACTGTTAATCTCGAATTGACTACATCTGCAATCGTTAGCACCCACTTATTGACACTGGGTAACCCTCCCTTAAAGACTTCTGTCTCAGTTGTATTGGGGACATGAAGTACACAAATAAACATACCCATATTCTCAGTTGGCTAATTGCTAATTTTGTGCTGGATAAATCACATTGATCGTAGATTTATCTGTCGTTGTTGTATTTTCCAAGGAATCCATATCCAAATCCGTAACATAACATTCCTATAAGAATATTATACTTTTTTATAAAATTATGGTCGTTAAAAGTGTAATTAACTATGGTTTTCTATAACAATTTTCCTAACGAGCTGGCCACGCACGAGTAGCACGGGTTCAGGGGGCGCGTCGAGCGAAATTCTAAGTCAAAGATCTTTTTGTTCACAAATGTAATCTACTAGACAGCAGCTGCGGGAAGCATAATGTATAGAGTACCTCAAGCACAAATAACTAGCGAGAAAGACGAATACGGAGCTTTCAAAATTCGTGCTTGGGTTACAGAAGCTGTCAAAATTTGTGCTTGGGGTACAGAAAAATGCTAAACACGCTGCGCTGTTTCCGCGCGTACCCGTGGCAAGCCCGTGACGCTGAAATTAAAATTTACTGTGACATAACTGTGTCTGCTGGTCAAGCAATTAGTTAAGTTAGGTATTTGCTATAAAAAGTTATTCCATACTAATGTTTTTATTTGAATAATTCATTAAAACTAAAGTGTCATAACATCGGCCGATAACAGTCGATTCCACAGTTCCAGTGTATTGTAAAATAAAGATAGATTGCGTGGCACCTCAAACTTTTTTGATAATAGCCACTCTTTCTTTATCTTTTTTTCCTTGACGTTGGATTTGTATATCGAAGAACATCTTATATGTATATCGAAGGACAACTTGTATTTAAAAAGCATTCGTGTTTATCCTGAAATAATTTTTGATATGAATAAGAACGCGGATCACCGCGTGGATTTTTTTTCTAGTAAACTTTTCTTTAGATTTAAACATCTAGCAGTTAAATGCTTAAAATTCAATAAAATCATAACATGAATAAGATTTTTGGAAAAGTCCTAGATCCTTCTAGCCCTAGGGTAGGGTCAGTGCATCTGCCCGGATAGCGGAGTGTACGGGTTCAAGTCATGTTTGCTGCCTGTCCCCGTGGAAACTTTTCTTGTATCAAAATTCTTTAGATTAAACATTTAACAGTTAAATGTGTAAAAACACAAAATATGTGTAAACAACTTCTTTATATTATTATTTTTGTACCCAGTCGAGTTTCAGTCCTCCGTGGCCACGATGGTGAGATCTCCAGCGTGCAGTACAACTGGGACAGTTCACTTGTGGGCTCGGCGTCTTTAGATGGTAGTGCTAAACTCTGGGACGCGAGATCCACCGTCTGCCTCGCCACTGTCGCTTCGCACACTGATGAGGTAACACCAGCAGTGTTTTTCTGTGAGATAATTAGATCACTTTTCACTTCGGAAACCTGTGCTCTGTGACTTAAAATTAGAACTCGAATTTCAAATCAATTTAACGGTGAATACCACGGTGAAAAGTGAGATTGTTGTTACAGTGTAGCACTGCAGGGAGCTAATTGCCTAACAGTGCAGCACTGCATGGAGCTAATTGCCTAACTGCGATCCGCAAAGATAAAATGAACAACGCGTTTCTAATGTCGTCTAAAGCAAGTATCAATGTGACATAACTAATCACTTTCCCATAAATGAAATGAGGAAGAAGTGAGTTATACAATTAGACTCCAGATCATAATACGAAAGGGTACTCTAGCAAGTCTGAAAATGCAATCAACTATTTTGACTAAAAATATACTTTTAAATTTCCGAATAGATCATTATTTGTCTTCGGTATTAAAAGACTTTCACAAAAACTGCGTTTTACTCGTGATAGATGATGCAAATGTCGGAAATCAGAAATTGTTCAACAATGCTTCACCAAATAAAAATTTAATCAAATACGACTGTATAAGAGTTATGCTGAGGAGGATTATTAGAATCTGCCACTAAAATCATGGATGAAAGTTAAGGCCTTCTATAATTTCTTATTTATTTCGTGTGTTCATTGTAAGTAAATATTTCTACTAATATCTCAATTCAGGTTTTGGATATTTGCTTCGACTGGGCTGGTCAAAGAATGGCAACTTCTTCAAGCGATTGCTCTGCACGCATTTACGACGTGCGTGCCGACTTCAAGGAACTAGCCGTTATGAAGGGCCATCGGGAAGAAGTTTCCAAGGTAAAAGAAAGTCATTCTTAGTTTATCTTGGGAAAGAGGGGTCTGTATTCATACAGACCCCTCTTTCCCAGTGGGCACTTTGGGCAAGTGCCCAGGCGCCTGTGATTGATAGGGGCCCCCCTCAGATCAAATACAAAGTCCCTATCTAAAGAAAATATAACTAGAAAAAATTCCACGCGGACCAGGCAGCAGACGGGACTCGAACCCGCACCCTTCGCAATCCGGGCGAATGCACTGACCAATTATGCTACCGCGGCCCTCACGGACCGCGTCGAAATTCTTTCTAGCTATTCTTAAGCTGCAAGGCAGCGCCATCTCTTCGCATTATAGGTAAACCCACAATGTCAAATGAATACTTTTACAAGTATTAAACATTTGAAAGAAGAAATAGCAATTATAGTTATAATTTTTATTATTTTTAAAGCATGTAACTGCTTGATGTTTAAATCTAAAGAAAATATAACTAGAAAAAATTCCACGCGGACCAGGCAGCAGACGGGACTCGAACCCGCACCCTTCGCAATCCGGGCGAATGCACTGACCAATTATGCTACCGCGGCCCTCACGGACCGCGTCGAAATTCTTTCTAGCTATTCTTAAGCTGCAAGGCAGCGCCATATCTTCGCATTATAGGTAAACCCACAATGTCAAATGAATACTTTTACAAGTATTAAACATTTGAAAGAAGAAATAGCAATTATAGTTATAATTTTTATTATTTTTAAAGCATGTAACTGCTTGATGTTTAAATCTAAAGAAAATATGGTGGGTTTACCTATAATGCGAAGAGATGGCGCTGCCTTGCAGCTTAAGAATAGCTAGAAAGAATTTCGACGCGGTCCGTGAGGGCCGCGGTAGCATAATTGGTCAGTGCATTCGCCCGGATTGCGAAGGGTGCGGGTTCGAGTCCCGTCTGCTGCCTGGTCCGCGTGGAATTTTTTCTAGTTATATTTTCTTTAGATTTAAACATCAAGCAGTTACATGCTTTAAAAATAATAAAAATTATAACTATAATTGCTATTTCTTCTTTCAAATGTTTAATACTTGTAAAAGTATTCATTTGACATTGTGGGTTTACCTATAATGCGAAGAGATGGCGCTGCCTTGCAGCTTAAGAATAGCTAGAAAGAATTTCGACGCGGTCCGTGAGGGCCGCGGTAGCATAATTGGTCAGTGCATTCGCCCGGATTGGGAAGGGTGCGGGTTCGAGTCCCGTCTGCTGCCTGGTCCGCGTGGAATTTTTTCTAGTTATATTTTCTTTAGATTTAAACATCAAGCAGTTACATGCTTTAAAAATAATAAAAATTATAACTATAATTGCTATTTCTTCTTTCAAATGTTTAATACTTGTAAAAGTATTCATTTGACATTGTGGGTTTACCTATAATGCGAAGAGATGGCGCTGCCTTGCAGCTTAAGAATAGCTAGAAAGAATTTCGACGCGGTCCGTGAGGGCCGCGGTAGCATAATTGGTCAGTGCATTCGCCCGGATTGCGAAGGGTGCGGGTTCGAGTCCCGTCTGCTGCCTGGTCCGCGTGGATTTTTTTCTAGTTATATTTTCTTTAGATTTAAACATCAAGCAGTTACATGCTTTAAAAATAATAAAAATTATAACAAAGTCCCTAGTTCCTGTTAAATCACCAAACGGGGGTTATAGGGGCCCCATTATCCTAATATGCCCATGGCCTTCAATAGGCAGAAGACAGCAGTGAAATAACTTTTGGTACTGTTGTGTTTCTGTTGGTGAAGCAGGTTCATAGCTTTCATTCGTGGAAGGGGATTACGTACGTATAGACATTATAATATAAAGCAACCTCAGAACAAGAACTAGAGCATAGAAGTATGCTATTTACTTTTATTACGTTTGAGCGTACACTCCCAATAAATACGAAGAGATTTCCAAAGAAGGTATTACCTAACCAAAAAGTATTAGTGGAATGTTGGCCGGTTGCATTTTACTTATGATCGTTTTTATATTCGGTATCGTAAAGGCACAGGTTAAGGTAACCAAGGTATCCAATGAAATGAAATTATACTTTATTCACATTGACTTAAAGAAAGCTCTTTTGAATCGTCCAATATTTTTCCCTACCACCCATTCAGGACATCTTTTAGCTGATAAGAAGAATGGACGCAAGAAACTTATCAGCAATTTGGCGGGATACAAACTCTGTTTATAGCAGCATATATATGTACCTTTTTTGGTGTGTAACATTTGGAACCTCACCTTATATTAGTAAAAAAAGAAATAAAACCTACTACAAAAGGAATAAGCCATTTGAACATTATGTTCTAAAATCAAATCAAATAGCGCGCGGTTCCCAAACTTCCTGTTACACACTTTCCGTCCCATTTCACGAAATCACTCCCACAAATTGCAGGAAAGCGAGAGGAAAGATGTTACACATCAATTAAGATAACCACATGAGTTGAGATTGTGAGTTGAATCTAAACTCTTTCTACTTAGACTTTTAATGTTGTGGAGTTTTTTTCGCTCGTTTTTCTCCGCAGCTAAAAAATATGTCCATAACGAGTGGTAGGGAAAAAAATTTTTTGGACGATTCAAAAGAGTGGTACTATACATCCAATTTGAATAAAGATATATTGATTTCTGATTTCTATGCTTTCGTTCTTGTTTTGAAAAAGTAACGCGTTTGACGGTTTTCTTTTGTTTCCGATATCCAGGTGTGCTTCAGCCCGGCTGGAGGATGCCTGCTGACGGCGTCAGCAGATCGCAGCGCGCGCGTCTGGAACACCAACACTGGCAACTGTATACAGGTAAAGGACATCATTAATTTTACAACATAACAGTGACGCGTCAGTATTTATAGGCAAAGGCCAATAATTTTTGAAAGCAAATATTGAGAACAAGACGAAACTCATTTCAAAAGGAAGAGAACACATAAAAAAAAGGAAAAATAATTTACGGGCGATTTAAGGTCGGGAAGGACCGAGGGTTTTAAGGGGTGGAAAACTAGAACTCCTATAGATTTGTTTTTTATTAAAAACTTAGTTAAAATTGTAAACACAAAAGTTACAGATCTTTGTATTACCGAAAAAAATGGATACTATAAATTAGTAGCTAGGTATTGTTTTTATAAAATCATTCTGCTTGCCTTTGCTTCATTACTGCTTGTGTGTATAAACCTATTGTTCTTTTACCTATGAAATAATATAAATTACGATTCATCATTACACCAATATGATCACCCGCCGAAAACACATATGGCGATGCGACCGCCTAAATTCTTAACACAGTTCCATTCAATGACTAATTTAAAATAATGTAAATATTGAATGCTTCACACTATTTGACTGGATTGAGGAACTACTTTATTTCTTTTTATTTGGTGACTACTGTATTTAATCCACATTTTTTTAAGAATATTTTTTCGTAATATTTTTAAGCAACAACATTATGTAAAATTACCCGCTAAAACTTAGCTAATAACTAATCTTTATGGGCTCGCCTGGACTACAACGGTCATCCTCATTTTGAAGGCAGGATTTGTACTTTTTACACACAGGGCCGGATTTAGAGGCTCACCTCTAAATCCGCCCTGGGACAACGAAGGAGTGGAGGCCTCTCATGGCGGCTTATTTTAAAATTTTGCACCCCGAGCCACTTACGATTTAGGGTCAAATGCGAAAAAGGTTATTGGTATTTGGAAAAAGGAAGTGAAGTTAGTGACCCGGTGTGGTTATTAACCGACGAAAAAAACGGAGGAGGTTCTCAAGTCGACGAGAGATGTATAACTTTTTACAGAGTAGTCCGATTTTGATAACAGGGGATGATTGATTGTTCATTCACTGATTGTAATGTATGACCACATATAACTTTTTGCAGAGTAGTCTGATTTTGATAATTCTTTCTTTATTGGAAAGGTTGGTCCCTTATGAAATTGAAAAAAATTATAACCATTAGAGTATGAAAACAAATATATTTATTTTATGATGTAACTAAAAATTTACGGTTTCGCAATTTTTCCTTTATCTGTACTATAAGACGTTACTTCGTACCAAATTTCAAGATTCTAAGTTCACGGGAAGTACCCTGTAGGTATTGATTCCCGTGCGAGTTTCGAAAATTTGCGGAAATATGCGGCATAAACGGCCGTATCTTTTGATTGCTTTGGTTTATAAGTTTGATTTTTTTACAGCTCCAAGGGACAGTAGACCTGAGTATTAGATATGAATTTCAGTTTGATACCTCCACGCGTTCCTAAGAAAAACGGTCTTGACGGACGGACGGACGGACGGACAGACGGACACAAAGTGATCCTAAAAGGGTTCCGTTTTTTCCTTTTGAGGTACGGAACCCTAAAAATAATAACCTTTTTTTATTTTATGTTAAATTAATATTTGGAGTCGGTGCCAGGCGAGGTAATGTGGCGGCCCTGTAAATACATATCTACATCAGCTCACACCAATATCTTCATTCCTAGGTTCTGTCTGGCCACCAGGGGGAGATATTCTCCTGCGCATACTCGTACAACGGCGATGCTATCGTCACAGCATCCAAAGACAACACTTGCCGCATTTGGCGGTGATTTGACTGGTGGCTGTGAAAAAACGGCCGCTTAAACCTCTAGCTTTGAACTAAATTTTAACAATTATTATTTCAACTAAGCCGGGTACTCATTAGCGAGCTGTATCTGTAACCGTTGCATGCACTGTAACCAAAAAGCATAGTGTGTACGTGGTTCTCTACAACGTTTACAACTAAGCTACAAGCGTACACACTAGAACCTCGTATTGTATCACGCATGTTACGGTTGCAGCTCGCTGATGAGTACCCGGCTTTAAGTAATTCCGAGAGCATTGCATCTACCAAACCTATGACTTAATTTTGAAATGGACTAAGATGGAATCTACAACCTGAGATTGAATTTGATTTCCTAATATCCGCTATAATTTGTTGATTTGAGATATTGTAACGAAAAAGATCAACTAATCTAATGTTAATATAATTAAATTATTATCTCTTAATGTTAATGTAATTAAATTATTTAATCAAACAATAAATTTTTATATGAACTTTGAACCAAGGATTGTTACCAATGCCAATCGCACACTTTAGTGACGTAATAATAAAGTAGATACGTTTACATAGAACTATTAGTGCTTTAAGGGTGCTCAATAAGTTCTTTTTTACTGCATTAAAAAAAACTTAAATTATGATGATGATTTTTAGAGATTTGTTTTTTTGCGCCACTTTTATTAATGTAAATCAAGATTTCAAATCAAGTAACAAAAAAGAGTTGTCGTTATATAGAGAATTGGTATTATTTAATTTAAAAAATGAGGTTATCACGGTAAAAATAATGCTTTAATGAAATTTTATTTTAAATCGTACTATTTTACTTAAAGTTAAACGTTATTATTAAATAGATACTTCCTATTGTAAAATATTGGATTTATTAAAATAATTATGTTATATTTATGCGTTTTTTTTTCATTAAGATAACAAAAAGTACCTTTACACCATTTAAATTAGCTTGTAAATCTAATATAATTATAAAATTCTCATGTCACGGTATGCGTAAATGAACTACTCCGAATCGGCTCGACCAATTTTCGTGAAATTTTATATGCATATTCAGTAGGTCTGAGAATCGGACAACATCTATTTTTCATGCCCTAAAATGCTAAGGGTAGTCCACCCTTAGAATTTTTTTTAGACAAATTTATCTGTTTTTATTTTTTTATAATACATCATACAAAAATACATACAAACCTAAATTTTCACTTTTCCACCACCAACCCTTATTTTTTTAAGGCGGTACGAAGTTCGCTGGGACAGCTAGTCTTACATAAAAATTAACTTTTTTAGAAAAGTATTGTTAGTGTTCTGTAAACAATTTACTAAATAGTCATGCATAAGCATTATGTCCTGCGCAGACGAAGGTCTTTTGTCTGCGCAGGACAAGAGTCCCTGAATCGTGAAAGTATGTAGGTAATATTTAATAGGTGTAATATAAATATTCTCAGATTACGTTGTGTTGTAATTAACATAAAGTTAAAGAAAAAGAGGACAATTTAGAAGAGAATACTGGGTGCATCCTTTTAAATTTCATCGTGCGCGTTACGCGGACTATTGTTCGCTGTGTGGATAGGACTGCGAATGTTTTTAGGGGACGCCAGTTTACTTTTCGCCATGTCCGGTCTCTCGGTGTCCGTTATTGTTCGGGGGACTTTTTGTACGCGGTACTTTTAATGCCTCGTGTGTGTTACTCTATGCAATTGTAAGCGATCTATTTTGGCAACAAAAAGCGGCAAATGTCCTGTACATTTCCGTACATTCAAAGTAATAAACATCGGTTCATATTTCGATGGGACTGACGCGATGACGCGTCGTCGGTCGTCAAGTCATCAATATTGGCAAATAATACGCCAACCGGAGTAATGCTAATGGGAGCATCCTCGGTAGCTGGTAGCGGGGTCAAATGAACGCAGATAAGCGGGGCTGCGTGCGCGAGCGCATAAATGTTACCGTTTTGTGATATTTTTTCGTTGGAGAAGTTCATAATCGAGACCGAAGATAAAGTGAAGTATTTTGGAAAGTTATTTTATTCGTCTAATCAAATTAAAGTAATCGTGTCGCAACCTAAGTGGTAAGTATAACCTATATTTATTATCGTGGTGAACTGTTTGGCTCGGATTGTACTGTGTACTATGTATAAATGGTTTTTCGCATTTTTTCACGGAACTCTGCGACATCTTGACTTTTCAACGGTCCGCGCGTGACTGTGAACCAAGAAGTGCTTGAGAGGTGTTCAAGCACTTCTTGATTGGGACACATTTTTAGAGTATTTAATATCATTGGTTCCACTACACTGGGTGGCGCTCTCCAAGAACAAATGGGCGAATTACTAAAAAATAGCTAAGTTACTGTAGATTTTTCTGTAATTTTTGACGTTTCTTCGATTTCCTCAGGTTCTCATCATGAGATCCTGACTTGATGAACATGGGACAAATAAAGTATGCCCAGCCGTCTTCAAACGAACATAAATACATAAAAAAAAAGCCGTCCATTTTTTAAGTCTATCGAAAAGAGCAATTATGGGCGATCAAGGCGCCTTCAAGTTATTAATAAATTAGCACTACCTTTTACTGGTGTTATATTTTTATTGGTGAGAAAGGTTCAAGGGCTTTGTGTTGTAATTATTGAGTTAAGGCTGGCAAGCTAAGCATGGCTGGAGCTTCACATTATTCTGCCACGTGAGCTATCTTTACAACCTATCTTTATTTTACTCCAAGCACGCACAACTAGCGATATTACTCGTTTTTATCACGCTCAAGTGTCAAATTATTAGAGTTTGATAGTTAGACACGATAAAACGTGATATATCGTATAAAAATTGAGGTGCTCATGCTACGGGGACTGCTACGCCTTGAATTTAAAAATAACTATCAACTGTAAAAACCGTCTGTCGATCATTACAATTATTTTTATATACCTATATAAGTTTCAGTTTTCTAATCGACTGTACATTACACAAACATATACGCGGTCGAATGCCAGTGCCATTCCACCAGAGACCGGCTAGTACATTTGTTATTATCACTTTGGATTCACAGCAGTGCGGTTGTCCTGTTGGTGTTAATTTTAGTTGAAACATTTATTTTAAGTGTAGTGCAAAAATAAAAACATTACGTCAACAGGAAAACGATGTTGTTGGAAAAGCTGTGTTTATTGACTTTAACGTTGGGTTTAGTGAAATCCGAATACAAATATGAGACTAAATATTTCACAGTACCTTTGGATCACTTCGGATTTCAGAGAACGGAGACGTTTCAGTTAAAATATTTGGTGAACGAAGACTTCTGGGACAGAGGTTCTGGTCCTATATTCTTCTACACTGGAAATGAGGTGAGCTTAATGGCATTTTTTTAAATAATAGTTGTAACAAACTTGTTATTTATCATCATTGTGTTAATATGACCCCGCAACTAATGTTATCTTTTCATATTTACATTGAGTATTTACTTTTAATATCGTCTTAAATAAATTTAATGGATGTATCCTTAAGGCATGGGTATTTTGTTGAAAAGAAGCTCATTCTGCGATCGTGGCAGTTAAGTAACTTTTACAGTGGCCGGTCGTGACCGTAAGATAGGTGACCAAAAATTTATTATCTCGAGCTCATTCGTGCTTTGTGATTCACGTCAAGATGTTGGTCCCAACTATGTTGATTGTTGTAAGCATCTATGACCGTTATCACTTTTGCTTCCATAATATGGAGGCCTGTGCACGAGTGATGGTGATATTAATTTCATTAATCGTGCGAGGAGTTCAATGGCGCAAGTGGTTAGCGCGTTCGCCTGCGATCGTTGGAGTTCAAAAACTTTCGCAGTGGCTGGTGGATAGGATAAATGACCAAAAATTTATTACTTATCTCGAGCTCTGCTTCGGAAGACGAGTTAAACCGTTGGGTCACAGCTGCGTCTGCAATCGTTGCAGCCATTTATCCGTACTGAGCCCGCGTGGTGGCTTATGTGATGGTCCCATCCCCTTATTGCATCCATAGGGTAGGCCTGTGCCCCAGCAGTGGGGAGATTAATAGGATGATGATGATGATATTAATCGTCGGTCCTAGTGTGGTTGATTCCCAAGAGCTGAATCGGTCTGCTTAGAGGGTGGACGGACGGGATGAGGGGAGAGGAGTCTCACATAACCCCTTCGCCATACCCAGTGGCGGAGTATGCGTCAAGCATTTTCTCTGCGCAAAAAAGTTGTTCAGTGGTTCAATATGGACATGAAAATTTTTCAAAACGGGAACGGCAAAGTGTCCCTACACTTACCGTGAGATTTGGTGATTCCATATGAAAGGAATTCATTGGAATTCCTTCTGCTAAGAAGATATAGATCGAGTTACCTCATCTGAATAGATCTGAATGGCTTATTATTATAATAGTTATTTATTATACAAGAGTGGAAAGTTCCTTTTTAACCGCGTGCTCGATTTGGATGACCGAGCAAGCGAAGGATTCTAAAGTTGAATCACGAGCGCAGCGAGTGATTCTAAATTAGAATCCTGAGCGTCAGCGAGGGAAACAAACGAGCACAAGGTGAAAAATCTTTCCACTCGAGTGCAATACGTAACTTTTCATCCCACCTCAGCGAGGAAATGACAAAATGAAAAAGAAAACAATTTATAATGACAAAATATTTTTATTTCAATTAAAACACATTAAGATAATCTATAAATTGAAGAAAATAATAAGAAGTAGAAAATAATTAAGAAATATTAAATGTAACGTTGCTACAGTTACTTATGTTAAGTTTAATATTTTTGTTAGGTAATGTTATGTTGGTGTTTGTGAATTGTGCGCTGTTTTGTGGTAAACTACTCGTATCAGTAATTTTAAATAGTTGTGCCGATTCATTGGATTCTATTGGCGTAAATGTTGGCGAGAGAGGGCTATTGTTTCCAATCTTATGGGGGCTCATTTTAGATGTAGAAGGGCGAGACCAAGAATCTGACAGAGGTTCTTTCAGCGTTATGGCCTCCACGATACTATTACAAATTTTTGATTTACTTTGGATTGAATCCTCTATGTATCCCTCTACAACCGAATTAGACTTCCAGCCTCCATGGCGCTTAAGCGATAGAAGATCAGCCCCTGATTCGGCCAAAAGTGTGGCTGAGGTTCTTCTAAAACAGTGACCGGTGTATAACGGGGGTTCTAAAAGTCCGAGAAAAGTTGCTATTTCTCGTGGAATACTGCCAATTTTATTCTGACCCATAGGTTGTCGGATACACTTTCCGTTGCGATATTGTAGAAAAAATCGTTCAATTGGGGTGTTAGAAGGACGTAAAGCTTGATATTTCTGAACAATGTTTACATATTCCTTGCGAATAACGAAGTTGCGGTCTTTTTTTGTCTTGGTATTTAGTACATTAATTAATAGCAATTCATCAGAATTATGAGAATATTTTGATACGTTATTGACATTAAGTAGTGTAAGTTCATTTGTTCGACATGCTCCGGTTATACCAATAATAAGAACAACCTGTAACAAAAGAAGTATTTATAATCGTAAATAAATTAATCAAATTAAAAATATTGTAAGTACTATGTACAATTTTATCAACAACAAAAAATTACACGTATTGACTTACTTTTGCCGCTAAATATACGGAATCAGGTGCTTCATTAATAAACTTTGCAATTTCAGATGCTGTGAAAACCTTCGATTTTTTTGGTTTATAACCAGATGAGGCTCTTTTTAAAAATGCCACTAATTTATGATAGGTGTCGATATGAACGTCTTTCTTCATCTTAATTGTTAATTTTAGCATTGAATACGTACTCCATAGCGTGCTTGCTTTCTTGGTCTCAGATAATTCTATAAAATATGCCAGCAAAACGTTTTCGGAGAAAGTTTTTGCTCCTTTAGCTAGTCGCCACATGTTAAATATATCGTACTGTTTCAAATACTTCTCTCGTGATTGCTGAGGGAGAAGGCTCATTTGCGCATTATTAACTGTTTCAGTTAACTCAGTTGGCGTTAGATAAACTTCATCGTCGCTAATGTCACTCATTTTAGTTGATTTTTTTGTACAGTTTTTAGGTTATGTTAATTATATTAAGCAATAAAACGTGAAAAACTAGAATGGCGCGAAGCACGCAAATAAAACAAAGAAACCAAGAAGGTTCCAAATTTAAATTTTTTCACAATTTAAAAAGTTCTAATCATAAATTTGGCACCATAGAGGTTACATTAAATAGGTTTAATGACGTTTTGAATTTACAATTATATTGAGTACTCATTATATGTGATGTTCTAAATTCAAATCTACTTTGCCGCTCAAGCGAATAAAATAGAATTTTCCAGCCAGATTTCGAAGCGCAAAATTACACTTTCCGAGGTGGTGGGATGAAAAATATATTATTATTATTGTGTTAACACAGATTGCCAAGTTACAGAACTCCGCAAAGAAAAAACTTTAGTTATTTGAAAATTATGTGTTACTCAATCACGCATGAAATACTGAACGGATTTCGATGAGGTAAGAACTTAGTTTAAGACCTGGATGGAGACAAAGGATTTATGACCTGGATAGAGACAAAGAATACTTTTTATCCCGGAAAAGTGTTTTGTTCAGTGGTTTTAAAAAACAACAAAAGTTAACGCTGACGCAGTTGTGGGCGCCCGCTAGGTTACCTATAATAGGAAGTGAGTGAGATTTATTCTGGTTAAAATAGGATAAATGCACTACAATTGCTAAAAGATTGCCTTTGAGGGTGGCAGGCATTACGACAATTTTATACGTAGCGTAGGAGAAGACTCGATAAAAACTGAAGACGCAGCTAGTTATTCACTTGTATAATAAAATTTTCAGGGTCAAATTGAAGTATTCGCCCAACACACAGGCTTCATGTGGGAAGCCGCCCAGGAATTCAACGCCAAGATAGTCTTTGCGGAACATAGGTTTGTAGAAAAAAATATCTCTTAAACAATCATGAACAAATGTGCGAATTAGTTTTAATTTGCTTTTTTATCTGAATAAGTAGAATAGAACTATTCAAACAAATGGTCGACCATCTTCTTAACACGACTCCCAAAAAGGAGTGTAATATTTCAGTAGCATAACTTGTAAATACCTAAATAGATTTGTTGTACTTATGTACACTTGAGAATCGTGACATAACGAGTGACACTGAAGTTGGACACCACTTACAAATGTAGAAAAAGCAATGTGTTTATTAATTGAAGATTTTGTCGGTATCGAGTACATTCCAAAACTATATAATGTAATATGGTATACAGTTTACATTATATAACGGCATGGAAAGAAAGAAAGAAGAAAGAAAATACATTTATTTTGACACAAACAACGAGACAGTAGATACAAGATTTTGAGCAACAAAAAAATACAAGAAAAAAAGAAAAATCATCGTAAACAATAGGATAACAACACAAAAAAGTAACACACACAATTTTTCATAACTGTCTTACCACCGGTGATTTATTCTGTTGCTATCTCGCGGCTGCGCCAAAACAGGTTGTCAATTCAGCATGTTGTCAGGTTTGTGGGACCTGACGCAGATTTTCAATTTTCATGGCACGCAAATATAGAATGAAAACTAATATTATAAAAATAAATAAAAAAACGACTGCTGAGCCAAAAAAACCAAGCTAAATAAAATAAGACAAACTGAGAACTTCTTTTTTCTTAAGTCTGATAAAAAATGAAAAAGAAGAACATTCATTAAAATCAGCAGAACAGAACGTCCCTTAACTGCAATGACGATTTTTAGCAAGGAATACGAGTTTTTGTAAGATTAATAACGAAAGCGCAGGTTTCTACATAATTATAGTGAAAGAAAAAAAATTATAGTGTAGTTATCCAATCCGTATTATGGATACTTTTTTTCCGATTTCAGATACTACGGATCATCCATGCCTTTCGGCAACGTGTCTTTGGACAATAAGCACATCGGCTACCTGACTTCCTCACAAGCACTGGCCGACTACGCGGACCTGCTGGATTACCTGCAGGACCATGCGGTCACTCCCAAATATCCCGTCATTGCCTTCGGAGGTACTTACATCATAAGGATTATCAATGAGGCTAATGATATCCTCTTTCTTGGCTTCGATCCGTCGATTTTGATCAAAAGTAGAATCCGAAGAGAATATTTGCAATAAGTTATTGCAAAAAACCATGAAATTCATCATTTACGGAAATCACATAAATCGCTGTTTCTGAAACGCAGTTCCTTTTCGGGCGGTATTGCATGGGGGCCAAGCGAAAATTTACCATTAGCGTTAGAACCACAGAACACAGAAAGAGGTAAGAAGGGCCTTGTGGGCGGAGCAACCGCGCCACAGTTATGTGGAATTGACCAAAACTTGATTTTGATTGCGGCGTTGCTCTCGGTTGTGAGCGCTGATTGGTTCGATTGTTTGATATCGCGTCGTTTGATTTGATCTATTAGGTGGAAGTATAGTGAGGGCGAGCCGGCGACATCGGTTCGCGAACAAACTGTCTTCTAACCTCTTTCTGTGTTGTGTGGCTACAACCTAGCGATGCGAAGTAGCTAGATGGGCAGCAAGGTGGGCGACCACTGACTGCGGTGGTTGTGGACTTGTTTAAAGATTAGTTTGGTTAGTGATGGACCGGGAGTGTTTGGGTAGACTGGGAGCGTCCGCACTGGGCTCATACCGCATTGGGCTGTGCGGTTTCGTGGCTAGGATTTTTTTTAATGGAATAGGGAGATTGGACGTTGTTTCACCACGCGGGCTCAGTGCATATTGGTGGGTGGTTTATTTTTAAATTCGTTCTAACCGAGTGTTCCACGACACTTAAACATTTTTTTTCCTTTTAGTTTAACGTAAAATACTTGAAATTAAAAACACTAATTATAACGACGTTAATAAAAAGTATATTAGCCTCATTATAAATTTTACTTAAAAATCTCATATTTATTACATGGGTGTCGTGGGAACGTCAACTTTGCCGATCCGACCCCAGATCCATTTAAGAATATGGACAAACATATAACGAAAATTAATCCCTATGGGTATCTCTCTATCTTCGTGGTTTCTTGTCTTGTCGAATCCAGCGTTCACAATGAATCTTGCAGGTTCATATGGAGGTATGCTAGCTGCATACATAAGACAGAAATACCCTCACCTCGTGGCGGGTGCCATTGCGGCGTCCGCTCCTGTCCACATGTTCCCGGGCATGACGCCGTGCGACGCCTACTACCGGATCGTCACTGCCTCCTTCAAAAACGACGGCAGCAAACATTGCGTGGATAACATAAGAAGTTCTTGGAGTGCTATCAGGTACACAATATATTTAGTTAAACATCTAGCAGTTAAATGCTTAAAAAAATGTAACTTAATTTACTTTTTCTTAAGGTAAACAATATAATAGATGTTAATTAGAAATAAAATAAAACAGTGGTTTATTAGTAGAAAATTAAAGCTTAAGTTACTTTATTGCAAATAATTTAAAACCCATCAAGTATCCAACAAGACTAACTGTCGTCCTATCATTGTGCTTTGTGTTTGTGTCAAGCGAGTGCTATCACTTTTAAGAAATTCATCCATTATCTTCCATATTAATGAAGGATGAAATTCTACAAAAAAATACAGTAACAGTACTAATTTTCACATTTCTAGGTAACTTTTAATTATATTTTAAACCGCTTCATTCCTATCTTCACTTTCCTTCCAAAAATAACTAGGTACTTACTTAATTTCATGAAAGAAACATTTCTGCATCTTAGATCCAGCGGTTTCCGCTATATGTTGATCGATGATTCGGCCAGTTAGTTTCCTCATATTTTGTACAATAAGTATAAATACAAAACCTACAATAACAATATTACAGCCAAAGGATCGATCACTTGTCAGTATACTCGATCATGGTCTCTTTTTCCAGGGAGTTCGCATCGAACGCCACCAACGCTGAATGGCTGAGGAAGAAATGGAACCTGTGTGACCCCCTGAAGAATTCTTCAGACGTACAGCAGTTGCTCGACTTCCTGCAGTCCTCGTATGAGACTTTGGCGATGGTGAACTACCCCTTCGCTTCTGACTTCCTGGTACCGCTACCTGCGTACCCGGTCAGAGTCGTCTGTCAGTATCTGAATCAAACGCTCAATGGAACAAAGCTGATGGAGGTAAGATGCCATCAACATTAGTCCATAGGCCATACCTCTATACTGCTTTACTATTGAGATATATATTATACCTAATACTGTTTATTTAAACTGTGATGACACAGCAATCAAAATGTGAGTGGACGTTGTATTGGGAGCGACATGTTCCCTTTTGTAAATGTTGCTACTTCTGCTAAACGCTGATGAGTTTCTTGCGCCCATTCTTCTCATCAGCTAAAAGATGTCCTGAATAGGTGGTATTAAAATATATTGGCCGATTCTAAAGAACTTTCAATAAGTCATTTTGAATAAAGTATAATTTCATTTCATAATCATCATCTGACTATTAATATCCCCACTGCTGAGGCCTGCCTGCCAGGCCTTCCAAATAGAATGGGAAGATTGGGCGTGACGCACCACGTCGGGATTTGTGCGGATTGGTCAGTGCTAATGAGTTCAGATGCAACCGGTAACGACAGCTTTACGTGCCTTCCAAAGCACGACGAAATTAGAATCTCCAGCTGGCGCTGTCGCTACTGTAGAAGTTTGTTCGGTGCGTACCGAGGTTAATCATACTAATATGATGTGAAAGTTTTGTATTATTGTGACTCAATCACGCAAAAACGGCTTAACGAATTTGGATGCAATTTCACACACATATAATTTATTACCAGGATTGAGACATAGAATACTTTTTATCCCGAAACAATGTTAGGTTTCTGAGGGATTCTCAGAAAACAAAAGTTAGCGCGGATGTAGTCGCCGTGTAAGTAATATACTTTTATTTTTCCGTTTTATTTGAATTTTTGCTTTTACACAGGGAATTGGAAAAGTACTGGACACATTCACCAACTACAACAAAAAAACCAAATGTGCTGATTACAAGAAAGGAAGCGACTATGGAAACTTAGATGCCAGCGGGTGGGATTATCAGGTATTTATTAGCGAACATGTAATTTTTCATACCTAGTTAAGTGACCTCAATGGAAAGATAGCACACTCAATCGTGAATTAGAATACTGGGGTGAGCAGAACACTTGTTTTAACGTGAAAATGGTAGTTAAATACTGAAAATATACATAAACATGTATGTCTTGTCTTTTTGTATGTAAGCGACTGCCCCTTAGATTGGTAGACGCTAGTGATACTAGAGATATACGAGATATGTTTAGCTTGTGTCACTCTGATCTTATTCCATCACTAGATCATCCACATTCCTCCTTTTAACTGTGATATAATATAGCAGTCTTCAAAATGAATAGTTTTATTTTTAAGTTACCTTTATGAATACCGTTAGGTGATCAGAGACCGACCGACCGAAAACATAATATATTATGTCGCCGCCCTCATTATACTTCCTCCTAATAGATATTAGCCAATCAAATATCGCGACATCAAACAATCAAACCAATTAGCGCTTTCACCCGAGAGCAACGACGCAATCAGAACAAAGTTTTGGTCAAGTTAATAGCATTTGCTCACACATAACTGGCGCGCCTGCCTCGCCCACAAGGCCTTTCTAACCTCTTTCTGTTTTCTGTGGTTCTGCTAATGCGGCAGTATCCATTTACTATCAGATGAACTGACAGCTCGTTTGCCTGCACAGACATAAAAAAAATATTCTACCAGACAACCTATAACTCTTATAAGTGCCATGGACCAGTCCATATTATTGATTTAAGGGTTAAAAACTGTGTTCTTTCCCGGTACTCAAACTATCTCTGTACCAAATTTCATCTAAATCGGTTCAGAGGCTTAAATGTGAAGAGGTGACAGACACACACACTTTCCCTATTATAATGTCGTTAATGATATAGTTTATCTAAACAGGCATGCACGGAGATGGTGATGCCGATGTGCACTTACGGCGACCAAGATATGTTCGAGCCGCACGCGTGGAATTTCACCGAGTATTCCGACGAATGCTTTAAGAAGTTTAACGTGCGCCCTCTGCCTGACATCGCCAGGGTCAACTACGGAGGCGACAGGCTGCAAGCCGCCTCTAATATCGTGTTTAGTAATGGACTCAAAGACCCCTGGGCTGGAGGTATGATGGAACGAATGCTTTGTCTTATTGTCCTCTCGCTCTTCAAAGAAACGCCAAGTAGGTACTCGGAACGACTGCTACCACGTGCGACCTCTGCCGGATGCCGCCACGGACAACTACGGTGGCAACAGCCTCCAATATCATATTCGGCAACTATTATTTTTGACCGACTTCCACAGAACAGGTGGTTTTCAATTTGTCCAATTTTTTTATATATGTGTCCCAATTTCTCTTATGCGGCTGAACTGATTCTGATTTTTACCAATTGTTATATGGTAATCAGGCCAAAATCTGATGCTGGAATCCATCCATTCTATCCGCTCAGCAGCGGATTCGAATATTCTTAGCCTGGGGATATAAATTAAAGATGCACCTTCTGTTCTGCTCATAATTTTTCTGTCTAAAGGGCCAAATTTCCTCATTATTAAGTTTAAGTATGCTATGCATTGGCATAATTAGGGATTTTTAATATATGTCGCCTACGTGAACTAACATTCTAATTTTACTATGCCCATGATGACCAGCCTCCCTAGCATGAACACCGCGATATGATGGCTTATATAGGTAGCGTAGGAGGAGCTCTACGGCGCAACTGGTTAGCGCGTTCGGCTGCGATCGTTGAAGTTAAGCAACTTTCGCAGCGGTCGGTCATTGGATGGGTGACCAAAAATTTACTATCTCGAGCTCTTCCGTGCTTCGGAAGGCACGTTAAGCCGTTGGTCCCAGTTGCATCTGCAGTCGTTAGCACCCACCAATCCGCACTGGGCCCGCGTGTTGGGTCACGGCCCAATCTCCCTATTCCATTAATTGGGAAGGCCTGTGCCCCAGCAGTGGGGACATTAATAGGCTGATGATGATGATGATAGGTAGCTTTTAATCGACTGTCAAATTCCATTTTAGTTTTGCTTTTTGACGATCACGCTAGAGGGAGGGCAGGACGAAGTAGGTATTAACAAGGCGTTATACAAATATATCCAATTCCTTCCTACAGGCGGCGTCTTCAACACTATCAACGAATCAGTGGAGACCATGTTGATCATCGACGCCGCTCATCACCTCGACCTGATGCCCAGCAGCCCCGCCGACCCGTCCACCGTGAAGATGGCCAGGGAGTTCCATAAACAGCGCATACGCCGCTGGATTCAGAAATTTAGGAAATAAGTAAACTAGTCAGTGTATGCGTTACAACAAATAAATATATTTTCCACTTTGTAATACTTATGTTTTTATTACACCTCCCAAAATGTTACACTTTCGTTTTATCTACTCGTGTATAACCTGGATATTAACAATACAATCCCCCTTATTCCAAAACAGGGACTAAAGTTAGTCCTCTTTTAAAAAAAAAACAAGTGTCATCATCCGTTTCGGTCCAGGTTTAACATTAGTCTTACGTTTTATAACAAGGCGGTTCAGGTTGTAGCTAAAGTATTGCTAAACATAAAATACTTCTGTATTTCCGATTCATTGATTACAAAACCAATAAACTTCTTTTCTTTAATTATATTGGCGGTGCCGGTGCCCCTAGAGCCCTATGAAGTTCGCCAGGGTCGAATTTTTTGGCTCAGTCTTTTCCTTTTTTGTAACCTTAAACTTCAAATTGCCTCATATGCTTAATGTGGCCGTGCAAGTTCAGTGTTTGTAATAATTCAATTAAAATTTTGGACAAGTTATTACAAAACCATTAGTAAGTAAACCTACTTAAACACTAGCTTTTGGCCTGCTGCGTGAACTTTATCCTTTTTTATCAATTTTTAACCGATTCCATAAATCCCTAAAAAAAATAAAATATGCATATTATTTTTATAAGTACATGTATTCTACATGAATAATTTATTGAAGGCCTCGAAAACCATTCTTCGTGTAGAATGCAAGACCTTTCGAAAGGTCTGCGGGACTGAAGACGAGGCTCTATAGGCGTAGCTTACTTTGCTTTCCAAAACAAATAAAAGATGTTTTGTGACAGTGATAATTGAGCTAGGGATGTTACATTCAGTGAAAATATCGATTTATTAATAATCAGTATCATTCAAGCTGAATAATAATTATTTTTTGGCAAAAAATATTCTATAATCATTTTGGTTGAAAATTGCAGAAAATTAAGTGCTTACTTTAAAATATGCGTAGATAAAATCAATAATTTAAACAGTTTATAGAAATTCGCAATGGTGCTTTTGATATTTTTTTGATTTTCGTAGAACCATACTAGACAATCTTCTCTATCAGAAAAATGACACGTGGCTCAAAATCAATATTATTTTCTGTCCAAAAATAACATATCCTTTATTTGTATTTGATGAAAGAAAGCAACGACCTTCTGGAGGTTTGAAAGTGACCACTACGATGAAACTCTTATACTACATTTACACTCTCGCCTCGTACCTCGCCTCGTGTTCCGTCTCATATCACAGCTCGCGCCTCGCGTTATCGATAGTAAATGAGCTGTCTGTTGACATTCTCGTGGTGAGTTCGATTGTGTTCGAGCTAGCCAGAATGGAGGACGTCGAAGTTTTAGCGGCAACAAGTCTTTGCTTACTGAGTTTCTACTGCTATGCAACTAATTGAAATAAAAGAAAAGAAAAAAAAAACATTTCTCCTTCAGACCAATCCATTTAGGCAGTTTGCAAGTATTTTTATCTCTGGTTTGCAAGCCACAAACTGTGCAGCACAAGGTTAAAACTCGAATAAGCGAGAGCACGAATGTAAGCACCACGCTCGCGTTTGTTGCGAGGTCCTTTGACTCGTGCTCAAAATACCGCTCGTCTATTTACACTCTCACCTTGAGCCTCGGCTCGTGCCTCGTCTCACGACTCGTACGCGAGTGTAAAGGAGGCCTCAAGGATAATAAAGCCCATTAGATTTTTCATACAAATGTTGCTGCAACCCAATTCCTAGTGAGACAGCTGGACTGATTCAAAAAAATCTTTTCTTGTGTTCCATGGTAATAATCTGATGCTGGAATCCATCCATTCCATCCGGTATGCAAATATCACTGATTATAAAATGGATTATAGCGGTGTGATAAATAATATACGATTTATGCCAGCGATCCACATTGTTATCGAATAAAATAACGATATAGTTAAATCGATTGTTATGTACATCCCTATTTCGGCGGCCGCATTTTGAGGTTATGTTTGTTTGTTTACGATAATTATTACATTATTTTATCAAGACATATTTATGCAAGACTACTGAATATGGATACGACATGCAAATACTGCAACTTACCAGAAAATAAACAAGACAACCCCGGTTTGATTTGCCAGACATGTATTTGTTTTGTACACTTGAGCTGCTTACGGAGGCCCGGCACCCCTGGAGACTTCGCTTGCGATGTCTTCTTTCACTACACTTGCGAAGAGTGCTCGCCTAGTAAAAAGGAACTTTTCTATCGAAATAAGTTCCCATGGTAAAAGTTATTTCATTTAATATTTTGTATAACAAATCAGAACAGTTTTCTCTTCTTATTGTTTGTAAGGGTAATAAACAATCAGAAAGAGACTTAATTTTTTTTTTACAATATATGTAGTAGGAACCTTACCCATTTTTACTTTAAGGTGATTTGTGTTACTGAGTATTGTAATATTATTTCAGGGTCAATGTAATTCTACTCACTTTGCACCATCTGAACACCCAATCTTATGGTATTAGTAACAATGGATTCTTTCACTATAAAACTCACATTTGCTCATTTATTGATAGATCTTGGAACCAACTTTTTGGACAGCAAACGTAAGTACATACTTACTCTCACTTATTAAGATTTATCTTTAAGTTTTGTAAGCTACGTCAAGTCTTCTTGTCACCCATCTCTCAATGTCTCAAGTCAAAAGTTTTCGACTTTTTGCGTCCTCCCAGTTATGACATACGGCGCCTAGAAGTGGACACTCACGGCTGGTCGAGTCCACCAGTTTAAAGTTGCTCAGAGAGATATGGAAAGGGTTATGCTCAGAGCATCCCTGAAGCACCGCATCAAAATTAATGTAATCCAACAGAGAATCAAAAGTCACTGACATAACCCACCGAATTATCAAACTGAAGTGGCAGTGGGCTGGTCACATTAGCTGCAGAAGTGACTGCCATTGGAGACCATGACTCGGTAAATGTAGTGTATGACGCCCTGAGACAAGATGGGATGATGACATTCGTAGGCTGGCTGGAGTGGGCTGGATAAGAGTGGCATAAAATCAGGAGCAGTGGCATGCATTGGGGGAGACCTATGTCCAACAGTGGACGAGCATGGGTAGATGATGATGAAAGATAATTAATTATGGAATTGAAGCATTATTGCTGTAGGATTAAAAACATACATAGATACATAATTAAAAAATTTAGTATTCCCACAAGTGTGTCGACATACCATTTTCCTTAGGGTAGTTAATGGTAGACAAATAAACTAAAAACCTATTCAGGTCACAATATTTTTCAAAATAAATTCCAACAAATAAATGACTTCCAATCATATTATTCAACAGGTATAAAATACTTAATTTTTAAAAATATTATGTATGTATGTTTCAGGAAGCAAAAAAAGAATTGGGTTGGCACAATTGCAGGAGTGTTATCTGTGTACAACAACTTAGTGTTCTGTTCGGGATCGATGGTGCTTGGAGAAACAGGCTGGTGGAAATTATTGCATGGTTTTTCACCCGCTGTTGGTGCTCACATTAGTAAGCATAGTCATATTTTTATATATATTTATCTAATTCTTGTATTTTTTTTTGTCTTAAATTACCATGCTCACACACCATTTATCCCCTGTGAAGTAAGCAAAATATAATATATTGTGGTGATAGCACAACAGATAAGGTGTCGATTCTGGTATGATTCTCTAAATCTAAACTTAAATTTGACAACAGTATATCGTTGTCATTCTCTACACAGAACGAAAAGGAGAGACTGTTTTTAAATTTAATTTTAAGTTTAGAGAATCATGCCAGAATCTACACCATATTATGACTAAAATTGGCATATGTTTTATGTAAAAATTTATGTGTCTACAAATATAAATGATAGTCAATTACAATGTTTATTTAGTTTAATAGTTAATCCCTAGCCCCGTTTTAATAAATATAGACTAGTTACTCTGTGTTTTGTTCAAATCACTCAAATGCCTTTTTTAATTCAATGAACAGAGACAAAACATGTCGTTATTGATCTAAGCTTTATTCTTTGTTTATTAATAGAAGTAGGATTTTAAGATTTTTTTTATTTTTAATCAGGAAAACAAACATGAGTTAGGGTTTTCTTTACTAATTTACATTATAAGTACCAAGTCTTCTTCCTTTTTGCAACTCTACTCAAGCATCTACTGATTAGCAAGTCTTTTATTTCATTAACATGTAGTTTTAATTTTATTTTCAGTTCAAGAATTGGCTAGGGAAAAACCCAAAGGGAGACCACGAAATCAGCTGGCGCTGGACAAGGTCCATTTCATTGGAAAAGTTACAGAAATGGGTAAGCAAAGGGTATACTAATTTAATGGATAACATACAAATATGTATGATATTTTTCAAATTTTTAGGAGCAAATGTAAACAAAAATTTTTCCTATTAATTAGCTACGATAAATTTTAATAAAATCAAATGATATGGTTCAATTTAATGGGCCTAGATCTATTTATTTAGATCTATTTAATTCATCACCAAGCTATCTATAGTCAAGATTATCTATAATAGTAACCCTTTGATTACTTTTGCTCTTAAAATGTTTGATATGGACTCTTAAATCTATGATGACCACATCAGTTCATTCTTTTATAATAAAACTTTATTAAAACATTCTTGATTAAATATGGGGCCTTTGCTAAAATTAAAAAAAAATTGTGTTTTGCTTGTTTTAGTCTATAGTAGATCCTGAAGAGTCTCGGCTGGGGCCTGGGTTTGTCTTATTGTCCTTTGTTGAAGTCCTAATGTATCTTTGACAACTTTAATTTTGTTTAAATAAATAAGTTTAAGGCTTCTCATAATAACAATTAAATATTTTCTTTTTATATTTTTAAGGTTATCTTCATTTGATCAATATGGATGAGGAGGCTACCCACACAGCTCCGGCAGCTAAAAAGAGGCGTTTAGAACACAACTCTTTCAGCAGTACCAACTCCTTTAGCGACCAGTTCGACTTAGACAGCAGGTATAAAGCTTTTCCTCTAGTTAACATCATCATGAACCTTTTAACTGAACAATTACGTATTAGGCTATTTGACAGTATGAAAATGAATGTACCAATTGTTTACATCTGTATTTAATATGAATATTAGCAGCGATTTTACTATTCTGAAAGTACAAATAATTAATAACTTTTCTATAAAATCATCAAATAGAATTTTTTTTTGCTCCATGGTCACGTGACCGCAAAACGCCTAGGATTCGCCAAGACTAAAATGACGTCACACGCTAGTAAACTTCCGGCCAAAGTGACATTACATTGTATCGTTTGACGTTTTAATGACAGTCGTGTGACATCACACAGTAGTGAGACGTCATAAAGTCCGCAGAAACGTTTTTGAAAATTGAATTATTGATTTAGTTTTTTTTGCTGAATTTCACAACAGAATTAAAAATATCTACTTTTATGAACTCCATAAGCATAAGCAAATTACGTGAGATAGTTTTCTAGAACTTATCAAATACCCCATTCTATGGCAAGTGCCTTAGCACTTACTATTCGCCCTTGCCTTAGTACTAATGACTGCAACAGTCTTAGACCAACGATTTCAAGTTCTCTCTCAAGCATGGATGCTTACTATGAAAGTTGTATAAAACTTCCACGATTGCAGAGCACTAGCCACACTGCGCCATCGAGCTCCCGGTACAATATTGACATTTCAAACATTTTGAGATAGTTTTCAGTCTGAAAAGTCTTAAGTACCAAACGAGTCAAATTAATTTTGGCTTAGATTATAAACATCATACCTTCCTATATTAACCACTACCATTTAATCAATATATCAAAAGTTAAGTAGGCTATATATAGGGAAATGCTTTTATATCTAGGTACTACACTTTCATCATCAGCCTATTAATGTCCCCACTGATGGCGCACGGGCCTTCCCTATGGATGGAATAGGGAGATTGGGACATGGCCGGTGGGTCACGCGAGCCCAGTGCGGATTGGCGAGTGCTAACGACTGCAGATGCAGCCGGGACCAACGACTTAATGTGCCTTCTGAAGCACGAAGGAACTCGAAAAAGAAGATTTTTGGTCACCCATCCAATGACCGACCACTGCGAAAGTAGCTTAACCTTAACGATCGCAGCCGAACGCGCTAACCACTTGCGCCATCGAGCTCCTTCTACACTTCCTTTAATTTTTTTTTTGTTTATTAATGAATATACGGCACAGAAACCAGATGAACGAGTTCACCTTCGAAATGGTACCCCAAGCGGTGGAAGGCACCCAGTCCGACCCTGAAGGCGTTTTCCGAGGATTCGATTTCATTTCCAACGCACCGCCATTCCACGTAAGATGAAGACATTGCTATTGATCAGAATTTTGCAATCCCTTGATAAAATACACTTCCGGGCACATCGGATAGATGCCCATGTAGCATTTTAAGTTTTCATAGTTCCTAGCTAAAATAAATAATAACATTGAGGAAAAAGTTTTTAGGCAGTATTGATGCTGATTTATTAACCATCTTTTTCATCATCATCAGCCTATTAATATCCCTACTGCTGGGGCACTGGCCTGGGAAGAATATGAATGAGACGGGAGATTGGGCCATAACCCACCACGCGGGCCCAGTGCGAATTGGCTGGTGCTAACGACTGCAGATGCAGCCGGGACCAACGGCTTAACGTGCCTTTCGAAGCACGGAGGAACTCGAGATAGAAGATTTTTGGTCACCCATCCAATGTCCGACCACTGCGAAAGTTGCTTAACTTCAACGATCGCAGCCGAACGCGCTAACCACCTGCGCCATCGAGCTCCTTCCTCGATCGAGCTTTTTCATGTGATTTTAAAAATATATTATTATTGCTAAACCTTACATAATTATATTTTTGCTACAGACCGTAACTTATAACACTGAGTGGGCTGATAGATGTGTCCGGGAGTTAAAAACTGCCTGTGTTTAAACTTTCATCCAAATCTGTTCAGCCGTCTAATCGTGATTGAGTAACAAACAAACAAACACACAAACTTTCACATTTTTAATATTACTAGGATATTTATTTAGTTTTTTTAAACCTACCAATATAGCTCCGAACAAAACACTCCATCCCACCTGATGTTAGGGGCCAAAAGAGTTCAGACGCAAAAATAGCTGGATAGATATGGCACGTTACATAGCACTTCCATTCCTATAGAACATATTGATAATATATGATACCTAAATGTTACCAAATTCAGAAAAACAAATAGATAACCATGGATAAACTACAATAATACATTACACTGTAGTAGGATAATATTTTTAGACGATTATTGATAATAATATTTCTCACACGCACACCAATTAGCCTAACCTCAAAGTAAGCACTGTAAGGCTTGTGTTATGGGATGCTAGGGTAACGGATAGAATATTTATATTTATGCATATTTAAATATATTTATATAGAAATATATATAAACATTCATGACTAAGGTACAAATGCTCGTATTCATCGTACTAACATTTGCACCCACCGGGATTCGAACCCGGGAGTCAGCTACACCTTGAGACCAGGGGGCCATTCGCCTAATGGAGATGCTTTGGAAAATGCTAACGCTTACGATTTCATTTTGTTATTTCTAGCAGCTTGAGGTTTTCAAATGCCTCGCGCTCTTTTTTTTCTTTTGCATTGGTAATAATAATATTAAAAAAATTGAGCGTGAGGTATTTGAAAACCTTCGGCGGTCAGAAATAACAAAATAAAATCGAAAGCGTTAGCGTTTTCCAAAGCATTTCCGTTAGGCGAATGGCCCCCCGGTGTTTATAACACCTGACCACGGAAGTCGTCAAAAATTAAAAAAAAGTCAATTCGTTAAAGATTTTTAACTGTTGACTTTCGATTTGCAACCAGAGCGATTCTTCAAGCGCGAATTCCGTCCACCAAATCACTTACTACGACTCCGATTCGCACAGCGTCTCCTCAAACCATCAGCAAGAAACACAACATGAAATCCAAGCCGAGGTTAAACCGAAAAAAACCGTAGAAGAAAACCCTTTCGTGAAACGCGAATCACTATTTTCGGACGAGTTAAACTCCGTCGATTTACCGTGGATGGAGAAAAAGTCGAACGCGTGTGACAAAGATTTGGTTGAAATGACGCAATACGAAGAGATACAACTGTTGAAGCAAGTGGAAGGTCTCATACCAAAAGTGAGGGATCCCAACAAGAAAGCGTACTTGTGCAGACTGAAAGCGAAGCTTGCGTTGAGGCGGCTGAAGAGACATAAACATCTGCCGATATTTGATCTGGACAAGTAAGTATATTAGTATTCTAGCGGCCGCCCGCGACTTCGTACGCGTGGAGTTAGTTATTTGCACATACTTTTTGACCCCAAAAGGGGGTTTATTTCTAAAGATACATTATTAGTACACCACTACACCATCTATAGAGAATACATGTTAAATTTCAAGTCTCTTACTTCAAAAACATAGGACTTTCATACAAACTTCCAACTTCTTAATAATATTCGTGCCAAATTTGAAGTAAATCCATGCAATACTTTTTGACTTTATCCCAGACATACATACAGACAAACGGACAAAAATTCTAAAAACTATATTTTTGGCTTCGGTATCGATTGTAGATCACACCCCAAGTATTCTTAAAAAAAACAATTTACAGTTTTGACTTTCCTACCATTTTATTATATGTATAGGTTTAAGTTAAATTAAACGAGTGTAAAAATAATATCAAAATAAAAATTGTGCAGGGTTCAGATTTTAATATTAGACAACCTTAACGAGTAACTTAGTAGATTTTCCAAAGCAAACCTTTCATACAAACCTAGTCCTGACAAGCACAAAACAATCGAAATTTTTGTGTGAATAATTTATTTCAAATATTTAGTATAGATATGTCATCTTATCTCTCTGCCGACCTTAACGGATAAACGTATACGAACTAGACTAGCGACCGCCCGCGACTTGGTCCGCGTTTACTTTATTTTTTTGGGAATCTCACAGGAAACTTATATTTTTCCGGGATAAAAGTATCTTATGTCTCAATCCAGGTCATAAACTACATGCGTATCAAATTTAATCGAAATCCGTTCAGTAGGTATGGCGTGATTGAGTAAGAAACACACAAACATTCACATTTATAATATTAGTAGTTATGCACAGTGCAAAGTCATTCTTTTGCTGTGGTATGTAAAGTACAGTTTAATTTGTAATTGTTTAAGGGCTGTGAAAGTGCTAGGCGGCTTCATGACAGGCGATCCGAAGGAGAAGTTGAACGCTGAAAGAGTTCTGGACAGATTTCAGAGATCGGTAAATAACTTATTTGTAAATGGGTATTCCATTGGGTTTTTTCTTTCTAGTTTGTAATTTATGGTTTCCTCATTAACATATATTCATCAGCCTGCTGGGGCCTTGCTTATGGATAAATAGATATTGGATCATGACCCACGCGGGCTCAGTGCGGATTGGTGGGTGCTAGTGACGGCAGATGCAGCCGGGACCAACGGCTTAACGTGCCCCCGAAGCACGGATGAACTCGAGATAGTAAATCAGTCGATATAATAAATCAGTTTCCAGAGCCTATTATCGAAGAGCTCAATGGCACAGAGGAGCTTAATGGCGCAGGTGGTTAGCGCATTCGCCCTGCAATCGTGAAAATTAAGCAACTTTTGCAATGGTCGGTCATCGGATGGGTGACCAAAAACATATAATGCCGAGCTCCTCCGTACTTCGGAAGGCGCTTTAAGCAGTTGGTACCGGCTGCATCTGCGGTCGTTCGCACCCGCCAATCCGTACTGGGCCCGCGTGGTGGGTCATGGCCCAATCTCCCTATTCCATCCATAGGGAAGGCCAGTGCCCCAGCAGTGGGGACATTAATAGACTGATGATACGTTAATCAAATTTTACAGCTATTAACGGGATTGTTTCCATGTACCTTTTTTTATGAGTTTCCAATATTATATATATATATTCAGCTTGCAATGCGGAAATATCGGAGACTCATAAAAACAAGGTACACTAGAACGCCGATTAACCGAATCGCCAATTATCCGAATCGGTCCTAAACGTAAAATAAAAAATTAAAACTAAGTTATTTGTGTTTTGTTGTAAAAAGTTGGAACTCGCTGGAATCCAGATATATTTCAACAACAAAGATAGATGGTTGAAAGCTTGAGACATTACATACACTACATGTTTTGTGTCATGCGGTTTTTTTGCTTCTATGTACCTCTATTATTGTACTTAGAATTATAGAACTGTGTTTGTTAAACTTAATAAGGTTTATTCTATATGTGACAGTTCGTTATTCTTTATTACGAGTCTAAGTCCGATTATCCGAATCGACCCCGGTCCCAATTAATTCGGATAATCGGCGTTCTACTGTATATAGTAACAGTCCCGTTAATAGCTATAATGTTAGTGACCATAAAAGTTTAAAACAATATATTAATCGAATTGTTTCACAGTACTTGGCTGACAACTTATGCGGTACAATAGCGAGTTCCAACTACGGTACGGTGTTGTTGCCGCGCATCGAACCCGAGCCGTTCCGCTCCCCTTACTCGGGGACGCTGCTCAAACCTTACATACGTATGGATACGGAATCTATGCCGCTTTGGCTACGGCTCCGGGATGAATTGTTAAGGAAGACACATAAGTAAGTTTGTCTACACTCATATCGAAGGAATTACGAATTAGCGGATGGTTTAATAAAGACGACCTTTAAAAAAGCACATACATGAAATTAAAAATAAAACTCATAACAGTACTGCTAGCTGTATCCTAAAATAACCATAGAGGTATAAGAATAGAGTAGGGAAGATATAGACTCTACTACAAGTGGAAGTGTCCCTCTTATAGAAAGAGAAAGATGAGAGACCGCTAGCTTTCTCTCTCTAACCGCGCATGCGCATTGGCAACCGTAAGCATCTTACTATTTCGATGTAATGCCATTGGATGCGATGCGTCACAAGAGAGAGGGAGATGGCTAGCGGTCTCTCATCTTCTTTCTCTTTCTACTAGACGGAGACTTTTACAGCCGCTTTCCCCACTCTATTCTAATAACTCTATGAAAATAACTGTTTAATCATTATAGTACACTTTTATTTTTTAATTTAATCTATTAAGACCATGATTATTAGGCTAAATGTGTAAAAAGAGCATAGCATTGCTGTTTAAACTTAATTTCCCGCGCTTCCCATACATTTTTTTTGGCGATCGTGTTTTGTTTTCGGAATTTAAAAAAAGTTTTGCAAAATATTTCATTGTTACCTAGCTACTTTGTTTAATTTCAATTGTTTCTATGTGTGAATATGAGTGTATGCAACTGCATATAATTTAGGAACTAAAACAACCTATTATCGCTTCTAAACAGACACTCGTGTTTAAATACCCCTTCTTATATTAAAACAGTCGCAGAAACTAATTTAACTACTAGTACTTAATTTTTTATACAGCACTATCTGTGGTACTATGGCCACAGGCAGTGGTCTTAAAAAGGTTTCTTTACTTTTGAGTTTATTTAAAGTTCGTACCATAATTTTTGCGACATCAAAAATATTTCATTTGCCATGAAAAATTAAGTTTAATTATTATTATTTTTAAGCATTCAACTGCTAGATATTTAAATCTAAAGATTTTTTCAGCTTTTTTCTAGTAATATTTTCTTTAGATAAAAATTAAGATTACTTTCTTACACTCGGAAGAAATTATACTAGCCCAAAGTAAGCACTGGAAGGCTTGTGTTATGGGATACTGGTAACGGATAGGATCTTAGGATTATTTAAGTAACGGTATTAAAAATATTTTTTCATACATGTTACGATTTGTTCTTTATGAAAAAAAAATTAAGTCATTCAAATATATAGTAAGTAATTTTTTTTTATTTTTTTACAACACACACCAATTAGCCTAGCCCCAAAGTACACCCCCGTATTTTTATTTCTCACGCTTTTACTGGTCGACTGGTAGAGAATGCCTTATGGCATTATGTCCGCCAATTGCTGTTTGTTTTGCAATAAAGTATAAATAAATAAAGTAAGCACTATAAGACTTGTGTTATGGGATACTAGGGTAACGGATAGAATACATATACTGTACATATATAAATATATTTATTTAGAAATACATATTAAACATCCATGACTGGAGTACAAATGCACGTATTCATCACACAAACATCTGCCCCCACCGGGATTCGAACCCGGGACCTCTCGAGTCGGCGACAACATGAAACCCGGCGTACAAACCACTCGGCCACGGAGGTCGTCAACCTACTATGAGAGATGAGATTAAACTACTTACGTAATAATTCTGACGACTATATCACGAAGCCCAAAAAGTACGTGTAGCTACTTACTCAACACTGGTTAATTTACCGAACACAGATATCCTGACAACTACTGGATATTTCCTTCCTAGTCATCACGATGAATCATATGGTTAATTTATACATACCTACTATGTAAATTTATTCACCCATGAATTTTCCCCTTCAATTACAATGAGTCAAACGCACTCGAATGGACTTAGATAGGATGAACTAAGTAGGTAAATAAACACTTTAATCTCACAACATTTTACTGTTTGAGCGCACGGAATATTCTGCTTTAGTGTTTTAGAAAAAGGGGCGTGAATCATTTACAGGTATGCAGCCGGTATAAAAAAAAACTATCTAAAATGTCAGTCCCGTTCTTCCTGATAGGAGTTATTTTATCACACTAATAATACACCTTATAAATATAAATAAAGATTTCCCACACTCAAACCAATTGGCATAGCCCAGCCCCAAAGTAAAAACTGTAAGGCTTGTGCTATGGGATACTAGCGTAACGGATAGAATACATAGTATGTATATTATACTGACACATAATATATGTATAAGGACCGCGTGGAATTTTTTCTAGAAAAAAAACGATTTTATAACTGAACTAAGCTTTACTAGAAACAATTCCACGCGGACCCGGCAGCAGACGGGACTCGAACCCGCACCAGTCTGCTGCCAGGTCCCGTCCGCATTTTTTTATAGTAAACATTTCTTTAGATTTAAACATCTAACAGTTAAATGCTTAAAAAAATAAAAACATAACTATAAAGTATGTTCTTCTTTAGGTACATAGCCGGGTACAATCCGCCAGGGCGCGGCGCCTTGCAGTACTGCTACGTGAGACCGCAACACATGCCGGCCATCAACAATCTCTGCGCTCAGTACTTTTGGCCCGGTATTGACTGTGAGTATGACATTTTTATAAAAAAATAGTGTATATGAACAGACAATACATCTTTTTTTTCTTTATTTGGTTCACAAACAAGCATACAATCATTTCAAATGTAATACATTAAATATTATTAGACACGACATGCAAATTAAATCAGAATTGATACTTATTTTCTTTTCTTAAATAGCCAAACATTAGGCGGTGCATGAATGAGAATGGAGCAACGCACGCATCATTCATCTTATATATAAAATTTTCGTGTCACAATGTTAGTTACCATACTCCTCCGAAACGGCCTGACCGATTTTTATGAAATTTTATATGCATATTCCGTGGGTCTGAGAATCGGCTACTATCTATTATTTCTTAACCTTAAGTGATAATGGTTGTCCACCTGTAACGTAGTGTTCTCATATGGGTTAGATGGAATGTTATTTTGGACAATATTTGTTTTTTTAAAATGTGGTATTAAAAAATACATACAACCTTAAATTTTCTCTTCTACCACCTACCCCTATTTTTATGGCGGTACGAAGTTCGCTGGATCAGCTAGTCTATATATATTCGTTTGTGACGCTCGTAGCGTTCCAGCCTTCGCCGAGTTACCAACTTTTGTGCTCGTCGTTTGAAAGTACGGACTCAAACCAAGACCATTCAGAGAGTAGGAGACTAGTCTTGGATCGCTATCGTTGCACCACATGCAGTACGACCAAGATCTTGTGGCACGTGTCCAAAATCAGAACTAATTGTAAGAAGGTATAAATAAGCCTTTTATTTATCGACATGTGGAAAAAGAAAAACTTTACCCCACTAAAGGAGTATATTTTTTATAAAAAATATACACTGTCCTTTTCCGGGACACAAACTATATTTGCACAAAATTGTATCTAAATCGGTTCAGCGATTTACCCGTGAAGAGGTAACAGACGTACATCCAAACTTTGGCACTGATAATATATATTCTTATAGCCCGTGTCACAAGAAAAAAATCGCGAATGACGCCGTAAGACATTCCGTCCCTCTCGCACATGCTATCCCACGTATCGTGCGAGAGAGACTGTATGTCTTGCGTAGGTATTTATTTTGAATTCCTTCTTTTAAGAGCCCTTTCACATTTTTTGCAAAAAACCGTAATTTTTGAGCGCCTCGTTTACCCCATTACAAAAGATTTTGACACTTTCCAATAGAAGTAAACAGTAGATTTATTCTTCTTATTGTAAGTTATTGTAGAATATTTGCAAATAAATACTATTTTCCTTTTTTGTACTGATCGTTCTACTCCAGCTAGTTTAAGGAAAAAAACGATAATATGCACAAGTTCAAACGCCTCAATCTCTCAATAATGTTCAATAAATTAAATCAAATTATTTACTACGACATCAGAAATATGTTTTTGTTGTAACATAATGTATTACAATTTTGATTTTCCATCTCATTAATTAAAAAACATCTAACCTCCGTGATTTTTCCCAAAAAAACAATGCAGGTTTACCTCGTATTTTGATATTGAATTAAATAGGATTACTATCAAAAACTTTCATGAAACTAATCTACCATCATTGAACTACTGAAATATGTATATATTTTATAATTAGTTCATTAATAATTATTTTATAAAACTCGAAACATCACCCGTAAAATGCAATATATACTAGTGCAAATCTACCTACGCACCGATCAGTACGGCAGCGGCGCAATTTTGTAAAAGGGCTCTTAATGACACGAGTTATATGGATAAAGAAAATTTGATAACCCTTTTGTTTTGCCATTAGTGACGGAAGCGTTACAGTACCCGGAATTCAGCTGTGTGGTGACGTACAGGCGGTTGATAGTGGGCTGCGCATTCTTGGTGCCCGACGCGGGGTCCAATGAGGCTTACATCTCGTTCGTGCTCACGCGGCCCGAGTGGCGGCGGGCTGGCATCGCCACTTTTATGCTATACCATTTATTACAGGTAATCTATATACAGTGTAAACTCCATGTAACGTCACTCGATTTAACGACAAACTCCCTACAGCGTCACTCGTCTTTGGTTGATTTAGTTTGTTTTCCATACAATGATACACTCCTTAAAGCATTACACCACTCTCTATAACGACAACAATTAAGTAATAAGAAGTACCTTTTTAGTTGCCAAAATTAGTGAAAATCGCGCATCATAACACAAAAATAACAGAATATACGCAACAGCGTTCAAATAAGATTATTTTTATATTTACATAACTACTAGCTTGAAATTAACTTGTACTTTTCATATTTTTTCCATCTAACGACAACTCTCTATAACCCCATAAAATGTACAGTGTCTTTAGTGTCGTTATATAGAGTTTACACTGTATAGATAAATCAATTGCTGCTCGTGAGTCTCGCTTAAACTCGAGAACGGCTGAACGGATTTATCTTATCTTGGTCTTGAAATGTTCGTGGAGGTCTAGGGAAGGTTTAAAAGGTGAGAAAAATTCGAATAATTGTCGGGAAATCCCTAAAAACAGCCCTTTTTGTTTTTTAAATAAAATGTATACGGATTGGTTTTGTTTGTTTCAAGATTATTTTACACAAAAGTTTAGGTCTTTTATTTATCAACTGAGACAGTACGAAGTCTGCCGGGTCAGCTAGTAATTAATAAATAAATAAAATGAAAAATAATGGGACCGATTCCATCACGACTCTCTAAATCTAAAACTAAAGAAGACGGTTTTTATGGAACGTGATAGTGAGTCTCCGGCGAACTCCAAATTGTTAAGTCATGTAGTGCAGTTATATTTTTATTTTTTGTAACTGCTAGATGTATCTAGTAATTTTTTCTTAAGATTTAATCATGTAGTGCACTTAATTGTAAATCGTTTGACAGAAAACTAGAATTTATTTTATCCCCGTTTTTTTAATAATTATCATTTCTAATCTTAGATTAAAACAAAAAGGAAAGATACGGTACGCGCATACTAGCATCAAATAAAATATGATCCGACTCAACTGACTCAACTATATAACCAACTCTTACACACGCACACGTCTGTAAACAACATCAATCTAGCGAGCGAGACAGAACTGTACACTTCAACGCAGAGAGCGAAACAGCGAATCCGCTTCCGAGTGCGAACAGCTGAGCTGTATTTTTGTCCTTTTCTTGATAACAAAATGGCAATTACGTAAATAACATTCACGACAAACCATGATTTATGAGAAAATAATTATGTTACAGTTTTACGAATGAGAAGTGTTGTAGAAGCATGTTATTTGATTTTGAACTATTTGTGTTCTTTATAAAAGCATCGAAGGCATTGTTTTATCTTTATAACACAGAATATACGCAATATTGTTATATGTATTGAGTGCACATGCAGCGTGTTTGGATGTCCAGTTGTGACTACAACGAATTGTGATCGTGCACCACAATTTAAGCGATCACTTTTGAGCCGCGAGTGCCGTATCTTCCCTTTTTGTTTTCATCTAAGAATGGGACTGATAGACCAGGGTCGATAATTTTAAAAATGGTGAAAAGTGAAAATAAATTATAGTAGGATGAAACCCATTAGAAAAGGTAGAGAATATAACAAAAATGAAAGGAAAAATAAATTACGGGCGATCTGAAGTCGGGAAGGGGGAGGGGGTGAGTTTTTAAGGGTAAAAAATGGTAAACCGGAAATAGTCCGGTAAAACTGCAAGTCCTATGAAAAAAAGTTAAATGGCAAAGTTGTAGGTAATAAAAAGATCTACAACTTTTGTATCGACACTTTTTTCACATAACTCAAAATTTATGTGAAAAATGCGAATAACTGAGTTTTTGGTTTTTGATTTTTATTTTTTGCAAAAAAAAATATTTTTCACGAAATTTGGTGAAAACTTACCTTTATATGTCCCAAACATACAGTAATTTTTTTGATTTAAAATACTGATATTTTCACCTTATTTTGACTTAATATCGAAAAAGCACCCTAATTTTCAATCGAAAATTCTCACGTCAAAATATCTGCTTTTTTTTATAAAGTTGGTTGTTTTTTGTTTGTTGAAATCTCTACTTTCTGATGGTATAAAAAAAATACACTACTATGATAAATGTTCTCAGAAAATGCAAATTAATAATGAAAAAAACTCGAATCCGAAAATCCTATTTTTAATACCTACTTACAACAACTATTTTTGCATGTTTTATGGATTTGTAATTTTTCTGTTTATCAATATAACATGAAATCTTACGTTTTTCGAGTAATTAAAGTGTAAATTTTTATAAATAGTTCAAAGTTATACATAATGATTCAAATCAATTTTTCGGATTGGAGTTTTTTTCATTATTAATTTGCAGTTTCTGAGAACATTTACCATAGTAGTGTATATTTTTTTTATACCATCACAAAGTAGAGATTGCAACAAACAAAAAACACCCCAACTTTTTTAAAAAAGCAGATATTTTGACGTGAGAATTTTCGATTGAAAATAAGGGTGCTTTTTCGATATTAAGTCAAAATAAGGTGAAAAAATGAATATTTTAAATCAAAAAAATTACTGTATGTTTGGGACATACAAAGGTAAGTTTTCACCAAATTTCGTGAAAAAATATTTTTTTTTGCAAAAAATAAAAATCAAAAACCAAAAACTCGGTTATTCGCATTTTTCACATAAATTTTGAGGTTATGTGAAAAAAGTGTCGATACAAAAGTTGTAAGTAGATCTTTTTATTACCTACAACTTTGCCATTTAACTTTTTTCATAGGACTTGCAGTTTTACCGGAAATCGAGATTAACCATTTTTTACCCTTAAAAACTCACCCCCTCCCCCTACCCGACCTCAGATCGCCCGTAATTTATTTTTCCTTTCATTTTTGTTATATCTCTACCTTTTCTAATGGGTTTCATCCTACTATATTTTTTTTTGGTCTCAAAAATTATCGACCCTGGTCTATGATTCCAGCACGACTCTAAACCTTTATATGGAGGGTGATAGTGTCTCCGGCAGACTCCAAAATTTTAAGTCATGTAGTGCAGTTATATTTTTTAAACATTTAACTGCTAGATGTTTAAATCTTAAGAATATTTTACTTGAAAAAAATCCAATTGCCTTGCAGCCTAAGCTATACTGGGAAAAATTCAACACGGCCATTAGGGCCGCGGTAGCATAATGGTCAGTGCATCCGCCCGGATAGCGGAGGGTGCTGGTTCGAGTCCCGTATGCTACCTGGCCCGCGTGAATTTTTCTTAAGATTTAATCATGTTGTGCATGCACTTAATTGTAAATCGTTTGACAGAAAACTAGAATTTATTTTATCCCTGTTTTTTGAATTATTAACATTATATATAAAATATATCTTTTGCAAATAGCAAGTTTATATTTATTTTTTGTTGCCAAAGCATTAAACATATTCTTTTCAATAGGTAACTTAAGCAATGATAATGGTTCTGTCCATCTCTCATTGTATTATTACGTATTTTGTGGGTATTTTGTTACAAGAAGAATCAATCATACATTGATATAATAAGTTCACCCCAATTTACAAATATCATGCGTGACTAGACAGATTGACATTTGCCATAGTGAGTTGACGTTAATAGTTACCTTAACACGCACTAAAAATATGACGTTACTAAGATGGTAGCCAGGGTCCTTACAAAATTTGTTTAATTTTTAAACAAGATTTAAAATTAATTGGAGATAAACAATAAAATCGAAAGTTTCTGTTTATGTTATAATATTAAACAAGCTTTCAAGTGATATAAATGTTTCATAGCCGCCGGAAACAGACTACCACTTTTAAACCGCCTCCTTTGACAAAAGTGTATCCCTGTCATTCTCTAAGGAATGAAAAGGAGAGACTGTTATCAAATTTAGATAAGAGAATCTTGCTGCCAGAATCGAGCCTAGTATAGCCGTGGTCCATGGACCGATTCTTCTTTTAACCAACAATTTCAAATCAAACCAGTTCCAATAACCAACCTCCAGTAAAAGATGGGGATAATATGTTTCCCTTTCTTAGCAACAGCTGTTAGTTTAATATAAGTATAAACAGAATTTTTTAGGCAGTGTCAGGTTAAGGTGTTTACCAAGAGGACTGCCTAAACTACTTTTCGCGGTTTTTTGATCAGCAGCCCCTAAACTATAGAAATGGGAGCATATCGATCGCTACCTACAAGATGGAAAAAAGTTATCAAACAAAATGGCACCTACATACTTTAGTTAAATATAAATAGAATTTATTAAAAAATGTTTTGAGTTTTCATATAAAATGCGAAGAAACTTTTTCGCCAACCTAATATAACATAGAGATGTCCGTAGTACATTGTCACATAATGAATGTAGTTCTTTTGCAACAATAAATAGTTTATTATATGCTTCTTAATGCTTTGCATGATTAGTAAAAAAAAGTATTGTATATGTAGTATTGCATAGAAAAATAAATACAAAAGGTTTACACAGCAAATTTTAATTAAAATATTTTTAGTTTAATTCCATGGATTGGTCGTCATATACGTTTTGCACAAACATGATTTAGAACAGTGTCTAACATTATTGTCATATAATCATTTAAGTTAACTATAAAACCTCAGTCATTAGAAGTGGTTGTGAACCATGTAGTTATAAGCTAATGTTGTAAGAAATTTTAATTTTAGACTTATATTGAAAACTCCTCTATCTTTTTTGTGATAAGATATGTAATGTTGTATTTCATGCCATCAATTTTATAGTATAATGTGTAATTTAGATAAATGCACTTGAGAGTTGACTAACTAGTGAATCTCCAGATTACCAAATAAACTTTTTATGTTGCAGACATGTTCAGGGAAAGATGTTACGCTTCATGTATCACCAACAAACCCAGCCATATTTTTGTATCAGAAATTTGGATTCAAGGTAAGTAAGGTTGAAAACAGGCACAGTCAAGTACTATAAAAATATGATTTATTTCTTACATCTACAATTTCATTGGTTTATTCAAGATCCCTTCAGATACTAAGTGATCATAAATCTTTCTTGTTTTATTAACATCGATTTTTACTATTCTACGAGCATCTAGAAGTCTCAAATGTCCCATTTTATTATTCTCTTGAACAAGTTGTTCCTTAATATCTAGATAGTTGAATGGCACTAAACGAAGATTGGAACACAAAACTTTTTCGGAATCTGATAAAAGATGAAATCCTGGTAGATCAACTATATCTAGAGGCATACATGTTCTTTTCATTTTTCTCACATTATGGTTTTCAGTCAGGGTCTTAGACTTTGTTGGTGAATGATTGTAAAGTTTATTCATAATTGTACGTGATGCATACTGCTGCTCTTTTACCATCAGATCATTCTCTTTTTTTAACTGTTTATATAGTCTTGCTGCATAAAGTGTTCTTATTCCATTTCTTCTGTGTTCACACAGTCTAGAGATCTGTTGTGAAAGTTCACATTCTAAATTTAAACCTTCCAATAAAGCATCAAATTGTATTGCAGTCATGAACTGCATGAAAGGCATTAGTCTCTCATAATTATGCTTAAGGTTAATATCATACCTCTGTAGCCAAGAAAACAGTTTACTGGGCATTATTAGGCCATGTATCTGTATTATCTTATATCTTCTTTGTCGTTCCCGCAAACGTGTGTTTAATGAATTCACTAATGCTATCTTTAGAGTATCTAAACATTCATCTTCATCATCATCAGAGCAATTATCTTCAATACTCATTATATTTTCAGCATTATTGTCATAGCTCAATTCAAATTCAGATCTGTGAGCATTATATCCAGCTAAGTGTTGATCTCCTTGATTGTTCCGAGGTGGGTTACAACTTACATTCAAACTGTACAGATATGGTATCACAGGTTTTGGAAACAGTGATTGCTCAGTCTCAGGCAATAGTTTCAAATCATCATACTGCACATTTTCTATGTAATACTTTTTGTAATGCTCTTGACATTCAAGTTTAGAGCGGGTGTGCACATTTTTAGAAATCTCTTCCCAATTGCCGTAACCATAAGTTGACAGAGCTGAAAGTAGCTTACATTCTTCTTTTGCTGACCAATTACAATTATCGAACAGAGGAAAGTCGTTCCGTCTGACGGCGTACTTGTGGTAATTTTTATGATTATCAACTTCGCGCCCCGCCGCAAAACATGTTGTACACAAGTAGACATTGCACTCACAACATTCGATGTAAGGTTCGTGTGCAATTTCTGAGCACGCACCGCATTTTGTCTGCAACACATCACCGGACATATTTTTTTGTTTTCAGGTTGAAGAGCTTATTCAAGATTTCTACGAGAAATACTACGATATCGACTACAAAGGATGTCGCCACGCACTGCTACTGCGACTAATAAGATGATTAAATATAAATATAACTGGCATTCTATCTTTTATTGAAAAATTTATCATACTAATTAAAGATATCAGGGAAAGGAAATCACGCAATGCACAAGACAAAACGAAATGCAAAAAATTACTCCTGTCCTGCCCCTTTCGCCCGCATTCCTCTCAATAAAAATAAATAAATGCTTTTTTTAAGATTCTCCCCTTTTTAGGGAAGGCAAAGGGAACAATGCCGATACAGCCTAGTCTTTAGTTATATATATATTTTACATCAGAATGTCGGTGTAACTCTTTCTAATGTTTCTTGGAGTGTTTGGCACAAAATGCATCGAGTTGGATTTTTCGTAAGCTTCTTTGAGATAATCAACACTACAATACAGTTCTCACGTCCACTTGACCGAAATAGCGTATACTTTAAAGATTCTACTAATTCTTCAGTGCGCAGACTGTTGTCACACAAAATTATACCAATCTACTATGAACGAATTTAAGAATAATTAAAATAAGTCGCCAACCGCACTCGATGGAATCCCGCCAAAAACTCGCTTTTTTTAACATTCTCAATGAATTCGAACAATGCCCATCAAAAAATGTTGACTTAAGTAGGGTTGCAACCATAAACGGCGATATCATTAATATCGAAATATTGATATTATATCCCAAAATATTTATATTTGGTAGGATAAATTGAAACCTAAATTATATACACCATTCATTTTACTAAATGAATGACTGATTTGAATTTACTGACCCGACGACTGTGACAAGAATTCAAAAAACCATAAAGGAGGTGGTTTCAGCCATACGCAAAAATACACATAAATAAGACAATCACGTTCAGGCTTAGAGCATTTACGACAAAATCGTCGACAAAGTCGTAAATGCTCTAAGCGTTTAGGGGTTAGTTAGGTATATTTGCCTGCTCAGAATTAGCAAATCTAAAATATAATCCACGCCGTGGTCTTGGTTATGCTCGTACATAATTTATTATCTCGATCAGTCTATTCCAATTTTATTAATGTCTTCATTTAAACGATTAATATTTTCATTTCGCTGTATGCAAACTTTTTCATCTTTCATCTTCATTTCATCATCAAACAAAATAAAAATCTGTGATACAGTGCGACCTTGAGTGCGAAAGTATCTTTATGAATGTAAGCGATAGTTCAATGAGGATGCCACTGGTGTTGATTCTGGCATGATTCTCTAAACTTAAATTTGACAACAAAGTGGTGTCGATTCTAGCATGATTCTCTAAACCTAAACTTAAATTTGACAGCAGTATATCCTTGTCGTTCTCTATACAGAATGAAAATGAGAGACTGATGTTAAATTTAGTTTTAAGTTTAGAGAATCACGCCAGAATTGGCATCAGTATCCTTGTCATTCTCAATGCAGAATAAAAAGTTTAGTTTAGTTTTAAGTTTAGAGAATCATACCAGATCCGACATCATAGTCCACGTAAATGACCTTAGAGGTCATACAAAATATGACGTTTGCGTTTGCAAATATGGTGGCGTTAGTTTAAATTTTCACCACATTCATGAAGTACCTTGTCGCACTCTAAAGATACCGTATCGCGTTGGCATGTCAGATTTAACGGCAATCGAGATTTATTTTTGATTATTTTGAGAATTCAAAAGATACTGGCGCCGATTCTGGCACGATTCTCTAAACTTAAAATTGACATAGTGTAGCCTTGTTATTCTTTATACAGAATGAAAAGGAGAGACTGATGTTCGACACCACTGGGTCCATACAGTGTCTCCCATTTTTACATTGGAATGCGAGTGTAGCCCATCTAAAGTTATTTTAAAGTGTTTTGCACAAAATTGAATCGAATCAGCTTTCTCGATAAGCTTTTATGGTAGTCAACACTACAATTGCAAAGTTCTTACGTCCAGTTGACCAAACTATACCAAGACATAATATTTTTTTTTTTTTAGATTTTACTCGTTCTTAAGCAAGGACGTATAAAAAAAGGCGGACAGAGTTTCGGCTAAGATATTACTGAGGCACCGTAATGGCGGCGGCTATTGATGAGTGAGTGAATTGTAGGGTTGCTAGGTTAGCCAATTTTTACCAATAAAACACAGTAAAAACATGAAAATATTTTGATTGTTCAAAATTTTACTTTTTGCCTGACTGCGGAGGATAATGTTTTTCGAGCGTATGTATTCATGTATGTATGTATGTCCAATAATTTGGCACGGCCTACAGCCTGAACGTCTTGACAGATTTTGACATGCGAGGCAGTGCTGCCAACCCGAATTTTAGAAAATTAGTAGATTATGTGCCAAATGTTGGTAGAAGTTGGTAGAATGTAAAATGCAAAATTGGTAGATCTACCACCTCAATTTAGAAGGTTTTTTAAGATTAAAAATGCATGCAAAGCAATGCAGAGCACACTTCAGATCACACCTACATGATTTGCAATAAAAATATCCGTCCCCCTTAGTAATTTCTTAAAGCCAACCTGCAAATTCCTTGTCTTTCTCCCATAATTTCGAATATTTTTGGTCATAGTGCCTTTTTCTAGGTTTTTGTGGCGGATTTCCTAACCTAGAACTATGTGCATCGCTTTCGCTGCTGTCAGAATCCATTATATAAATAAATGCACGCAACATAGAACAAACAGCAATCAGCACCGTTAATACGCAGTTAATTAGTTTTTACAATAAAACAGGAGCAAAGATTCAACATTGATTCCGCAACAAACCAACCGGGAATAGGCCACAGTAGGAATAGTAAAATATGGGCGCGAAATTGTGCGAACGCCGAACTCATGGCGAACTGTTGCTTTTTTTTTTGTGGTTTATGGCCTGGACTCTATATATGCTTGACGCATCGTTGCATGGCTCACGCAATACATCGCAACGTCGCTCGTCGATATAAAAATAATTCAAAGTGGTAATATGTCAAACTAATTAAAAAATAGGTAGTTTTTAGGTCTAGGGTGGTAGATAGGTAGACTGAAGTGAAAATTGGTAGATCTACCAAAAAGTTGGTAGATATGGCAGCACTGATGCGAGGTGTCATTTGATTTGTCGTGATTGTGTGAGTGGCACTCGGTATATAAAAATTTCAAAAAATCAAAATAACAGGTATTATGCGCCAAAATGAAACATTTTGAAAAAAAGTATAAGCATTTTTATAACCCGTCAAGCGAGGTATCAGTGAAGGGTTTTAAAATAATATTTAGAAAATATACAACTCGTGTAATTAAAAAATAATGAAATTAAAATGTCGAAAATAAAAAAAAATGTACTAAAAAGAAAAAAACAAGTCCAGTAGTCTAGAATTCTGTTTAATAAGGAACAAAGTTACTTTAACAGTCGGGACTCATTAGAAATTCTAGAATGTATGGAATTTTCTCAATATTGGGTAAATCAACTAAATATAGATGGCCTGGCCTACATTCTCTTTCATATTTCTTAAAATAAACTAACACCCACACCCATTGAGTACTGTTTGTAATTGAGGAGTTCCATTGTTTTCCTCCGAAAGTACTCTTCAGATCTCCAGTAAATTAATATGCAGCCATCTCGCTAGTAAACTGATTAAAACAAAAAAAGAATCATCATAAACGGTCCACGAATCTCGGAGATCTGCGCAAACAACAATAAAAAAAAACAAATATGACGCATTGCGAACCTCTTTCTTTTCGAAATCGATAAAAATTTTAATCAACCTTTTGAGGTAATGCATACGTAATAACACGCCGGAGTCCTTCAGTTGTATATAAGTCTTGAGCTTCAAAATGAAGACTAAAAATGACACTACTACATATTTGTTTGGAAATCATTCATTTTCCAGTAGTTTCTCCATACTACATTTTCTTTAGGAAATCTGATAAAAAGAATAATAATTAATAGATTGAAGTTAATGTCAACCCAATTTCCCATATTTTAGGTAATATGGTTACATGAACATTGGCAACACTGGGCTTAAGACTAATCATTTTGTCCTTAGAATGAAAATTGATTTCGATTTCTAAAAACTGGAAAAAAGTGATTAAATAATTCATTTGCCTATGAAACGTGATTCCTGGATTTTTTTTCTTTCGGTTACTACGGATTTTACACCATTTTAAACCACGCAAGACATCTTGTTTAACTTATTTTTGTCTCCACGTAACGTGCCGGCTGCTTTGACGTTTGCACGCGTAATGGTTGACTATGGTGTGAATGTTTGTGTGCCGGCTTGTACGTATAGCGACCTGGCCGACTCTGAGCGACACAGTTTGTTGTTTACCGGGACTCTGTCCGCCTTTTTTTATACGTCTATGTTCTTCAGTTCTAAGTTGCGTTTTGCGCATCACGCAGAAACTGAACACCAATGATGTTTTATATTAAACTTCATTGCTAAAAATCGAAAAATCCTTGAACCTAATCCCCCGAATTAATAAACGAAGAATAAGACTAGACTTATTACGCCATGTTTTGTTCGTATCACTCAAATGCCATTTGGCATTCAATGAACAGAGACAAAACATGAAGTAACTAATCCAAGCTTAGTCTTCGTTTATTAATAGACAATTCACGAACAAGAGTAGACAATTCACGAACCCTAAAACAAAAGTCACCATATACACGGCCTTAGTTCGCAGTAACCTTGAATATTCTAGTATAGTATGGAACCCCAATTACGATATCTATGTCAAAAGAATTGAACGTGTCCAGAAGCGATTTTTATGGCATTTGTCGTTTGGATGCAACATGGCGAAAAAACTGCCTAATTATGTCGACAGGCTTCGCCACTTCAATTTGCAGTCACTGGAGTGTCGCAGACGTTTGCTGGATCATATGTTTCTGTACAAGCTAGTGAACGGCATCTTTGACACACCTGACCTATTATCTAAAATCAACTTTCGCATACCGTCGTGACTTCCTAGGCTTACGACTTATGCACCCTTTATGGAGAGACTCTCTCGTTCGCGCCATGGTCGCTACTCACCGCTGAATAGGTTGATGATAGCTTACAATGGCTTGCACAGAAGTAGACTACATTCTAGTAGAATCAAATGTGGATTACCACAGCATGCTCATGAGCATGATTCACAATTAATTGATGTCGACATTTTCTCTAATTCTCTTAAATATTTCCAAAATAATGTAAAAAAAATACTAGATTTGACGTAGGTATTTGCTGGTGACTGTAAATGTAA